AAAAATATTATAATATGCTGATCATGTAACACAAAATAATTGCATATGCGAAAAATTTTTATTTTTTCCGTACTTTAACATTTTTAAAGAATTAATGAGAAATCAAATGATATTAATACTACAAAATACCAAAATACGAAAATTTGATTGAAACTTTATTAATAATATATAATTTATCATTTTTATATTAGATAAAAAATTTTATATAATCGGTCCCAGTCCGGACCAATTCAAATCTTGGTCTTTGCTGGGACCGATTCAAACCTATATCCGAGACCTGGCAAAACTAATAAACTTTTAATTGGCTATAAGGTATAATCATATGATTCTAAGATCTCTGGCAATTCTTTATTTTTCATTAAATTATTTTGGATGTAAGGTAGGATTTTGTACAAGTCCTCATTTTGACACTTGCTACCAAATATCAACTTTCATTTATAAAATTTCATCATAATCTAATTAGTTGGAATATGATTGTAAATAATTGTAAATTAAGACTTTCAACCACTATAACCTGTTAGAGGCTTAAATTCTTATAAACTAGTGCATAAAGTTTAAATGAATTTTATGAATTTCTTAGTAATATATCATAACTAGTTGAGTTGTATTGAAGATTTAATATCCCAATTAAAGTAAATAAAATAAATAAATATGAAAACGAATGATAAAAGAATTTATATTTGCGATTTTGAAAATTTAAAATTTAATGTTAATTGGATGAATGGGAATGTAATTTACAACTGGATTTTGGATATAAAACAACCAATTAAAAGACATTCACGTGACAATTTTAGTTCGCTGAGTTTCGGAAGTTTCGCCAGATTTCGGAGGTTTCGGCAGTTTTGAATAGCCGAAACCGAAATTCACCTGAAACATCAAACTGCGCCTTAATTATTGAAACATGTTACACAACATTAATTGTGTGACAAAATCGGACTGAAAATTGAATACAGTATAACAGATAAATTTACTTAGTTTAGCAAATGATGCGCCATTATTTTTTTTTTTTTTCTTTCGTTTTACAATGTCATGCTCGAAAATATTTTCAGGAGATCTACCTGAATTGATATATGAAATCATCAAATATTTACAGAATGATTATTCAACTTTGTATTCATGTGTTTTAGTTAATAGATTATGGTGTCGTTTAGCGATCCCATTATTATGGGAAAATCCATTTTCAATTCGTACTAGAAACTATAATTTTATTGAAGTTTATTTGTATAATTTGAATGACCATTTAAAAACAAAATTAAATGAGTATCAAATTATTGATAATTTATTACCCTCAATTACACTTTTCAATTATCCGAGTTTTTTAAAGTATATAAGTATATACAAGGCTATTAATTCAGTTGCTGAATGGTGGTATGGAGTTTTAAAACTCAGAAATAGATATTTTATACAAGATAATTTTGGTGAATTAGTATGTATGTCACTATTCATAATGTTTATTGAAAATAAAGTAAGCTTACATACTCTTGAAGTTGGGATAAGCACTTCTTACAGCACATATAATGATAATGTACTTGAGTTAATTTTACAAAATCCAAATTTCATTTATAATATTAGAAATTTAAAATTTTCCATTTCAAGTTCTAGTGATAATACACTAATTAAAAATCGTATATCACAATTAATTAATTTACAAAAAAATCTTAAAAAAATATTATTCGGTTCTAATAGTCTTTTTATGTATCAATCATTATTATTATCAAAAGAATCTAATTGTTCAAATACCTTAAATACAATCATTTTCCATTATGTCAATTTCAAAGGTATAAATAATTTAGTTGAAGTATTTGAAAGGTTGAATGTTTTAGAATCTGTTCATATCATGTATTGCTATTCTTTAGATACTAGTTTTGTTCAACAAATTATTAATCTAACTAAATCATTTAAATTAAAATCTTTATTCATAAATGAGATTTCACAAATTGAATCGTTAAATTTATTATTGCAAAAATCTGGTAATTATTTAGAAAATTTCGGATGTGGAGGCATTATTACTAATTTTAGTCAGTCATTTAAACGACAAATATTAGAATTAATTATAAAATATTGCAAAAGTATCAAGTTTTTTGATATGTATAGAATTGAGAACCATACTATTTCTCAAATCATATTCAATTTAATCGAAAATATTAAGCAAAATCTTAATTACCTTACAATCCGTTTATGGAATTATCAAGATAGTAATATCAATTTAATAATATTACAAGATTTAGGACAAACACTTCCTCCTAAATTAGAATATTTAAGTTTGGCTCTTAACATTAAGGCAATTGATTTTAAATTATTCTTGAAAAGTTCTCAAGATACTTTCTTCAAGAAATTGGTAATTAGTAATGTAAGACAAGAAGATGGTAATTATATTGATATTTTACCTTATGTAAAAGAATATATTATGAAGAAGAAAAGAGCTAAATATTTGGCTATCAAGAATACTTTCACTGTAAGATGGGAGAGAATCATAGATTTGTTTGATTTGAAAGATGAAGTGATGGAATTTAAGTCACATAATATTAAAGTTCTTAATTATATTAATTTATCTACTGATATTTATAGATTTTTAAATGAAATTAATTAATTATTTAGTTATTATTTAAAATATCAGATAGAAATATTTTTTTTTAATTTCATAAATGGAAGTTGCTTTATAGATTATTTATCCTAAAAATAAATATTCATTATTATTAATAATCAATAATTTTAAGAAATTTTATTACATATGACAATTTTATAGTTTAGATCAGTAAAAAGTTCCATAAGAGTGTACTAAAGAAGATCAAAATTAACTTGAGGTTTTATACATTTCAAATTACTAATTAACTATTGTTTATTTTCTTTATAACAGGATAGTAATGGTGCACTTTCTAATTGTCATCTAATGATAGTTTCAAATGTTAACTTCCTCAGGGTGATTGCATGAAATGATGAAATTTGTGATTTTTTTATGGCTAATTAATCTACTGAATCTATAATTTTTTTTGTTCTTATTTTTTTTTTAAAAAAAAAAAGTTACCTATCAGATTTGTAGTGAATATTTTAAGTTACTAATGATATGACATCAATTTAGGGATTGGACCCGGGTTGGACTACTATACCAGGTTACTCGTGGGTGGGCGGGTATCCGGGTGGTAATAATTTCCACTTGGGTGGAGGCAGGTGCTTTGCAGATACTTTTAAAATCGAAACTATATCAAAACTTTATCATAGAACTTATCGTAAATAAGATTTAATAGCATATCTTGACCAAATCTTGATTACAAGTTTACCGGATCGTATGTATAAAGTTGATGCATATTAAGGAAATCGTCACCTGATTTAACCAGCTCGTGCAAAAATAAAGTTGCAGTAAAGTTATAGTTTATTTATTTTAAAGTTGATGTATTATAAAATATTAAATTGTTCTATCCTAAATCTAATCATACGAATTATTCTAATCTATAAATAAAACTAATTGTTCATTAAACATAGATATAAATTTTCCTAACATTTTTTTCAAAATTTTAAAATTTTCGAAACTTACTAGAATTCTTGTATTCCTATATTGGGAGCCATTCCTCTAAAAAATAATAAAAATAAATAAATAAATAAATAAAGGTTATTACTTATTAAAATGTTTTTTAAAAAAAAAGTCTTTGAAAGTATTCTGAAACACACCTCCGGGTACTGGTAATAAAGGTGGGGCCGGTGTCTTATGAAAGAGATGAGCAAAAATGTTATTAAAATATCTTTTTAAATTTAGTTTCGAAATAATTTTGAAACTCACATTTATCTTTCATAATTCATTGTGAAGTTCTATGATTTTTGCTTCTTGGTACTCATTAATCTTATTTATCCGATTCGAAAATCATCCGGATCATCCAGATCGTTCATCCGGACCAATCTGTTATCCGTTATCTCTATGTTTTAACGGATTAGATCTGAATCATCCGGATCGTACATATAACTTTTTTTCATCCGGATTAATCAGATTTTCATCAGGATCATCCATTTATTTTCAGACCGGATTGAACGGATGACGGATTCATCCGGATCGTAACACTACACTACGAAATCCCTAAGCTTAGAAAAGGTATCGATATTTAAAAAAGAAAAAATGAAACATTAGTAAAACGTTTCGCAAAAAAAAATCACTTAAAAAAAACCTCTCATCAAAACCCATCTCCCGTCTAGAAAAGTCACTTAAAACAAAAAGAATTAAATTCGAAGAAACATATAACCCCGATTTTCTTTCCCATGTGTCCATCCCGTCTAAAAAAAAGATAAAATTTAAACGTTAGTACACGTTTCGTTAGAATAAATAAACTAAAACAAGAAAAAAACTTACCAAAAATGAAATCCCACACGTCCAAAGAGACCCGAAGAACTACCTGAAAAAAAAAGAACTATTTAGTGACCGTTCATTAAAGAAAAAAAATTTTTCCTAAAACTTACAAAATGTCACATAGGAGACCCTAAAAAAAAGAAAAAAATTGAATGTCACTTGAATCATTATAGAATTTGATTTTTTTGTGGGTTTTCTTCAACTCTTTTTTAAATAAAATACGAGAGAATAAGGAAAGGATGAGGGAAGAAAACTGAAATTTATCTTTTTATAAAAAAAAATTAAAAATATGGCGATTAAAAAAACTGTAAAGAATAATAATGTTTTTTTAGGCAAACTTAAAACAGAGTTTTTTTAACAGAAAAAAAATTTTTTTTTTTAAAAAAGATATAAAACAATGAAGGGAAGAAGGAAAGAAGAGAAAAATGAAGGAAAGAAATGGGGGGAAATGAAAGGCAAGGAGCGAAAGGGAAGATTTTCACCGGAAAAAAAAAGTTTAAAAGTTAAAAATAATTTATTTTTATATTAATGATTGCTAAAGTTAAAAAAGTTTAGATCACTAAATTCACGTTTATCACATGATACATGAGGCTTTTACCATGTCATCACATGTTGGATAATAGATCGTTGTGATTTGATGATTTGATGGCGATTTCTTAACTGCATGGTAACAAATCACGGGTTTCTGCAAAAGTATATATTAAGTTTTTTAGAATGAAAATTTCTTTTTAAAAAAAATTACAAATATTATTGCTTCTTTTTTTAAAAAATAATTTGCAAACCCTATAAAAAAATTTCTGGGAAAAATTCCGATAAATGATTTTAATTTTCATTCCAAAAAAACTCCGATGTGATCAATTTTCTAAAAAATTTTTTATAAGGAAAATTTTATCAGTATAATACATAATCTTAGTTCAGATATTAAATAGTCTATGACAAATCTTATGAAAGTGAAAAATATAGTAATAAACAATTATTCTGCTAATTAATAGTCAATACTATGTAAAATTATGAATTATAAATCGCAATTTAATTTTGCTATTTTGTTTTTTTAAACTAGTCATACAATACAAAAAAAATAAGTAAATACATGTTTCACCAATATATGAAACTTTCAGAAGTTTGGGCAAGTTTCGCAAGTTACAGAAATTCCGCCAGGGTTTGGAAGTTTCGCCAGTTTCGGTGATTTTGAAACTAATTTTGTCAGGTATCAGAAGTTTTGCCAAAAATTTTTACCTGAAACACTAACACAATGTATTGAGAATATATTTGTAGCATGTTTAATAATATGGGAATATATAAGCACAAACTATTTAGAGAAAATCTAGTTAACAATTATAAACAATTATAATATTGACAAAATAAAATAAGCAATTTATTATAACAAAATGTAGTACCTATTATAATAGGTAATAAATAAATAAAATAAGTTATAACAATTGTATATGTGTGTCATATCTGCCGATCTGTAATAATTTTGGCTGGGTTCTATATCCGGATATGTATATAAATTAAGATGATCGGAATAAATTGATTGTAGTTAGCAAACAATTTATTAAACAAATCTCTTTTTATGAAACAAAAATAACAAAAATAATTAAATACAAAAAAATTACTGTGATTTATGACGAAGAAATACAACCAAATTGTTTCACGATCATTGCCAAATGAAGTAAAATGAGGTAAACTGCCCCTAATTATTGAAACATGTTACACACAATTTATTAACATTGTTTGTGATGTGCGACAATAACGGAATCATCATCCCGAAAATTGAATATAAATTTCTCAATTTGGCCTTAAAATAAAATTATACTCACCATCCATTTTTTATTTCTTCTTTTCGTTACAATATGTCAATTTCGAAAATATTTTCAGGAGATTTACCTGAATTATTGTATAAAATCATCAATTATTTTCAAGGTGATTATTCAACCTTACACTCATGTGTTTTAGTTAATAGATTATGGTGTCGTTTAACAATCCCATTATTATGGGAAGATCCATTTTCAATTCCTACCGGAAATTTTAATTTCATTGAAGTTTATTTGTATTATTTGAATGATCATCTAAAAACAAAATTAAATGAACATGAAATTATTAATAATGTACTATTACCTTCGAATACACTTTTCAATTATCCTAGTTTTATAAGATATTTAAATATAAACAAAATTGTCCCTTCTATTGAGAGTTGGCTAGGAGCTAATGATAAAATAAAATTGACTAATGCATATTATGAACAAATTTCGGATACAGAAACTGAATTTAAATGTTGGATTAATATATTAATATTTAAAATGTTCATTAAACATGAAGTAAAGCTACATACTCTTGAAATCGAGATCTCTAGAGCTATATACAACAAACATGCTGAGAACATTCTTGAGATAATTTTACAAAATCCAAATTTCATTCACAATGTTAGAAATTTAAAACTTTCTATTTTAAGTTCTATTAATAATACGCTAATTAAAAACCGTATATCACAATTAATTAATTTACAAAAAAATCTCAAAAAAGTATCCTTCAGTTCTAATACCCTTCCTTTATATCAATCGTTATTATTATCAAGAGAATCTAATTGTTCAAATACCTTAAATACAATCATTTTCTATTATGTCAATTTTAAAGGCATAAATAATCTAGATAAAGTATTTGAACAATTAAATGTTTTAGAATCTGTTCATTTAATTCATTGTTCTTTTTTAAATACTGGATTTATTCAACAAATTATTAATTTGACTAAACCATTTAAATTAAAAACTTTATTTGTAAGTAAGATATCACAAATTGAATCATTGCAATCATTATTACAAAAATCTGGTAATTATTTAGAAAATTTCGGGTGTGGATTAGAAGGTACTAATTATAATCAAAGACAACAATTATTAGAATTAATAATAAAATGTTGTAAAAATATCAAATTTCTTGATTTAGATAATGTTATTACTCCTTTAATGATCAGTTTAATTGAAAATGTTAAACAAAATCTTAATCGTCTTTCAATCAGTGTAGGGAATAATCAAGATAGTAATAGCAAGTTAGTATTACAAAACTTAGGACAAATACTTCCCTCTAGACTAGATTATTTATGTATGAGTCTTTATGACATCAAAGAAAGTGATTTTGAAGTATTCATAAAAAATTCTCAAGATACTTACTTTAAGAAATTGTTAATTGAAATTATAGAACGAGATGATATTAGTGATGGTACTGATATTTTGCCTTATATAAAAGAATATATTATGAAGAAGAAGAGAGTCAATTATTTGGCTATTAAGTATACTTACCCTTCTAGTTGGTTTGATGAAATGGATTTGTCTGATTCAGGTAGAGCGGAGGAATTTAAGTTATATAATATTAAAGTTCTAAGTTATATTAGTTTATTTATTGACATCAATAGGTTTGTAAATGAATTGATTAATTAATTAGTTATTATCTAAAATATCAGATAGAAATATTTTTTTAATTTATAAATTATTTATCCTAAAAATAAAAATTCATTTATTCTAATTAATATATTTAAGAAATTTTTATTGCTCATTGCGCTTTTATAAATTTTGAATCAGTAAAAAATTTTATAATTAATCAACCATTATTTATTTCCTCCTCCAAAAGTAGGGTTTGCCCTCCAGGTCCAATCTACTGTACTTGAGAGTACTGGACATATAATGTTGGTTCAATAGTTTGATTGGTCAAAAATTATGTGATTTTTTTTTATAAAATGATCTCATTGATAAAACTATACAAAAAGGAATTTCTTACAGGAACTATATTATTATATATATGATATCGGCTGGACGGACTGGACTTGGACCACCTTCCTTATTTACCCAGTCCTACCTGTATTAGCCAATGACATGACAACTGTTAATATTTGAAAATAAATATTGAAAACCTTGCTAGATTTTCTGTATGCCAAATGCCTTGGCATTAGTAGACATATAAGAATAACACAACCGAGTAAAATTACCCACTTGCCCTTTTGTTTAAATAAAATTTTCTTCTTTTTGTTTCCACCTCGTTCGCTTAAAAAAATTTCATTTTTTATTATTTCCATTTTGTTCCCTTTGGTATTTTTTTGAAAAATAATTTTTTATTTTATTTCCACCTCGTTGTTTTTTCTTCCCCTTTTCTTAGAAGTTTCTTTTAGAAATTTTTTTAATATTTTTTTTATCTTTTTCCTTTTTGTCATTTGTTTATTCTTTATTTCTTTTTGGTAAAAATTTTTTATAGTACATTGGACCTTTCTTTGTAGGTCGCTGGAATTTTTTTCTTTTATCATAGGATATGCTTCAATTCCTTCTTTGCAAGATATGTCAGGTTTCTTTTTTTGTAGGACATTTCGGATTTCTCTTTTCTTTTTCAAGGGTGGTTCAATTTCTCTTTTTATAGAGTGTTTCAAATTTCTTTTTGTAGGACGTTCCGATCTTTGTAGGATGGTTTGATTTCTTTCTTGTAAGGCGCCAGGACTTCCTTCTTTTATATGATACTGAGCTTCTTTTTTTTTAGGAACTTGACTCTTTGAGACTTGAACGAACTTGGAATTACTGCAAGTATTATATTGATTTTTCAATTGTGTTGAAAGAACGTAGTAATAATTCTTATTACAGTATGTTCTTTTTTTAGGTTATCAGACTTTTGTAGATTGACAAACCTTGAATTACTGTAGGTACTATATATAGAGGGTTTGGCTTTCAATTGAGTAAAAGAACATTCTTACGTTTCTTTTTTTAAGTTGATCGAATTCCAGATGGCTTTGACAAATCTGGGCTTAAGATATATAGGTGTATTGTTTCAATTGAGTTAAGAAATATGTTAACATTTCTCCTCTTTTTGTTTTTTAGATCGTCCGAATCCTGGAATTTTGGACAAACTTGGACGAACTTGGACTTACTATAAGGAAAACGGGACTTGTTATTTCAAAAAGTTAAGTTAATAAGTTAATACATTTCTTTAATGCAAGTAAAAGTTTTCTTAGGACTACTTTTAAATATCTAATAGAAATATTAGTAGACATGGTAATAACAGGTTTTCGGAAAGAAAGAACCTTTTATGATTATAAATAAATACAATAAAAAATAAATAATAAATAAACAGTTTTTATTAGCGTATCATAATAATTATTAACAATTAATAATAAAATACTAAAAGTTATTAATTTGATTTTCTTTTAGCTGAATGTATTTTAAAAATCATATTTATTCTAACGAAAAAATCATGTCAAGTATATTTTATCAATAAGAAAAATATTTATTCTGATTTCTGATTATATCAAAGCACTGGCTTAATCTAAACCTAAAAAATAAAAGAACAAAAAAAATTAGGAAAAAAGAAAAAATAACTAGAAAATTTTATTAAAAAAAAAATTGAGAAAAAGTTGATTACGATAGCCCCACAGAATTGACCTGATCCTTTATCAGAACAAAAAACAATAATTTTACAATACAGTTTATAAGGGAAAAAATTAAAATAAAACTGATAAAAGAAAAATTAAAAATATTTAAAAAATCAGTTTGAAACTGAATAAAAAATAAATTTGAAAAGAACAAAAAATAATGAAAAAAAAAAATCAACGTTGTGCTGTATCCAATCACATATCTATTAAAGAGGCTGGGAACGGCCGAAAAAGAAAGATTATTAATATAAAAAAAACTTTTTCATTGGTATTATAAAATAAAAATCTAATTAAAATTTCATTAACTAGAACTATAGCCAAAACCAGGTTTGGAACTAATATTTAATTAAAATTATAAAAAGTGATTATTTAGTATTTATTGTTTCCTCCTACAATTTTCGCATTAGATAATTTCATAAAATAATAACAATATAGGCTAATTAGAAAATTTATACAACCTATTCTTTATGAACAAATAATAAATAAAATAACACATTATATATTGCACAAAATTAAAAAATTTTGATATACAGTATCGAACTAAAGTACTTTTGAGTCATTTTCTATGGTTGTTTTCACAAATATATAGTGTTAAATATTAATAAGTAAATAAACAGCTAACAATACTATTTGTCTTGTTTTTTAATGTCTACAATCAAAAAAATATGTAAAACATAACCATGTTAAGAAATAATTTGGTAAAAACAATTTTTATATATAAGAAGCAACTAATGTGATAGTGTGATAATAAATAATCCGGATTATTGAATTTAACTAAATCCTAAACTTGTAAAAAAACATATACTGTGTATATATTTAATTGCAGATCTATATTAAAAAATTCCAATTTTTTTTAATTTCCAAAGCAAGTAATCTCAAAAAAAAGACCTGCTATCTGCCGCACCTCAGGCGCCTAAAACAGGAGCAACTTTTGTCTACCATACATTTCTGCCGATCTGCAGAATGCATGTAATAGGTTTTATATAATATTCTGTAAATCGGCGAAATGTATATAATGTTTGGTAAAATTGAGATGATCGGAGTAATTTGATTAAAGTTAGCAAACAATTTATTAATAAAACCTTAATTATTTTATGAACCAATACAAAAAAAATCATTAACATGTGAAGAAATACAACAATTTGTTTCACGATCATTATCATTACCGAATGAAGTAATTTAAATAAAACTGCGCCTAATGCATGCTGCTTGTGCGACAATATCGGAATCATCATTCCCAAAAATTGAATATAAATTTCTCAATTTGGCTTTACAATAAAATTATACCCCACCATTTTTTATTTCTTCTTTTCGTTACAATATGTCAAGTTCGAAAATATTTTCAGAAGATTTATTGTATAAAATCATCAAATATTTTCCAAATGATCATTCAACCTTACACTCATGTGTTTTAGTTAATAGATTATGGTGTCGTTTAGCAATTCCACTATTATGGGAAAATCCATTTTCAATTCCTACCGGAAATTTTAATTTCATTGAAGTTTATTTGTATAATTTGGATGATCATTTAAAAGCAAAATTAAATGAATATACTGATTATGTACTATTACCTTCGAATACACTTTTCAATTATCCTAGTTTTATAAGATATTTAAATATAAACAAAATTGTTCCTTCTATTGAGAAGTGGCTAGAAGCTAATAATAGAACTTCAAAATTCGGTAAAGGATACTTGGCACAAATTTTGGATTCAGCTTCTGAATTTATTAGATTGATTAATATATCAATATTTAAATTATTTGTCGAAAATGAAGTAAAGTTAAATACTCTTGAAATTGAGACCTCTAGTGCTAGTTATAACACATATGTTGAAATCATTCTTGAGATAATTTTACAAAATCCAAATTTCATTCACAGTACTAAAAATTTAAAATTTTCTATTTTAAGTACTAGTGAAGATGCACTAATTAAAAATCATATATCACAAATACTTAATTTACATCAAAATCTTAAAAGAATTTTATTAGGCTATAACAATTTATCTTTTTATCGGTCATTATTATTATTAAAAGGATTCAATTGTTCAAATACCTTAAATACAATCACTTTCTATCATGTCGATTTTAAAGGTATAATGAATTTTGATAAAGTACTTGAAGAATTAAATGTTTTAGAATCTGTTCATTTAATTTATTGTTCTTCTTTAAATACTGAATTTGCTCAACAAATTATTAATTTAACTAAACCATTTAAATTGAAATCTTTATTTATAAGTGAAATATCACTAATTGAATCATTACAATTATTATTACAAATATCTGGTGATTATTTAGAAAATTTTGGATGCGGTGGTTATTTGAATCAGTCATTTAAACAACAAATATTAGAATTAATTATAAAACATTGTAAAAATATCAAATATCTTGATGTATATAGAATTGATAGACATGATACTTCCCTAATCGTATTCAGTTTAATTAAAAATATTAAACAAAATCTTAATCATATTTCAATTAGCGTAGGGAATTATCAAGATTATGGTATTGAGTTATTATTACAAAATTTAGTACAAGCACTTCCTTCTAAACTTGAGTATTTAAGTTTGGATTTATGTATTAGAGCAATTGATTTTAAAGTATTCTTGAAAAATTCTCAAGATACTTTCTTCAAGAAATTGGTAATTAGTAATATAAGATGGGAAGGTGGTAATTATATTGATTATATTGATATTTTACCTTATGTAAAAGAATATATTATGAAGAACAAAAGAGTCGAATATTTGGCTATTAAGAATACTTTAATTGCAAGAAATACTAAGAGAAATGTAGATTTGTTTGATTTAAAAGACGAAGTGATGGAATTTAAATTACATAATATTAAAGTTCTTAGTTATATTAAATTGTCTACTGACATCTATAGATTTTTAAATGAAATTGATTAATTATTTAGTTGTAATTTTATTTATCCTAAAAATAAATATTTATTTATTATTATTATTATTATAAATCAGTAAAAAGTTCCACAAGTTGTACTGAAAGAGATCACTTGAGGGTTTGTACATCTCAAATTACTAATTAACCATTATTTATTTTTTCTTCTAAAGGTAATAATATGCACTTCCTAATTTACCATACTCAAGTATTATTTCTTCAGAGTGTTTTGCATGAAATATTGAAATTTGTGAATTTTTTAAAACTAATGAATTTTCTGAATTTATAATTTTTTTTGTTCTTATTTTTTTTAAAAAAAATAGGTCACATTTATCTATCAGAATATCTTAATTACTAATGATATGAAAATATTATTAGCCATATACTGCACATAAAAACTGAAATGATTATGCAAGATTTTATGTATAATGCTACTAAAATCATATTACTTTTTTTAGATAGTGTGACTGACATTATCTTAGTTCCTGGCCCTGATATTGGGTGTTTTAGATTGAAATTTTAAAAAAATAAATATTTCATTTCCTCTTATATTTTATTTTCTTAAAAAATAAATTGCAAACTTTTATTAGCATAATACACAATTATACAATTCTGATATTATTAAATAATCTATAACAAATTTTGTAAAAAAATAATAAAAAATTACTCGAGGTAGTAAGTGAATAACGATAACGTAGATTAGCCGTAAGGTAGCTAAAATTATAATCTACGTCACTCCCCTTATATAAGGCATGTGACGTAAGATTATTTCTTGTGCAACCTTTTTTTTCTTAAATTTTTTTATTAACGAAATGTTAATTCTTTTTTTCAGAGGTTTTTGGATTTCTTGGACGTGCAGGATTTGGTTTACTTTGATTTTGTCAAGATTTTTTAATATTTTCAGTTCTTATTTGAAGCACTGGAATCCCAGGCAAGTTTCGAAATATGTTTAAAAAACAAAATAATTTTTTACTTATTTTCTTTTTCAATTTTTTAGGTCTCTGTGTTTTAATTTTGGTAGGCAAGTTGTAAGTTTTAATAAAAACTTACTTTATAAAAATGGTCAGTTAATAATGTTTTTTTTTTTAAATTTGTTGAACTCCGGCTTCACAGAACTTCGGAAACCTAAAAACGATTTTTTTATGGATAATATTCTTCAGCTCAGCTGTGATTTATTCTTGTTTTTGTCATTTAGAAACTCTAGATCTTTTTCTACAATCTTTACATAAAGCTTTTGTATTATTATTTTTACCTAAAACTTAATGCTGTCTTTTTGTTTAATGGCACCTTTTGAAAACTTTTTAAAATTTATTTGTCTACAAGAATAAGATTTCGAATTTAACTATATAATATATACGATATATGTACAAAGCACGTGATTTGCGTGACCGGGTGGTGGTCATTGTAAGACCTAAGCCCGTGATAAATCACGTTGCCACCTTAGGCTTAACAAAATACTTTATTAATAATATAAATAAATACAATAATATGCTCGGTTTAATAATATTAGATAACGGTTAAATATTTATCCTAAAATTCAAAATAATTCTCAAAATTCGTAACCTGATTTCAGAAGATTGCTCATTCTCATTCACAAACTTATGATTCACTATTTAACATCATACCCGAAATGATCCTCATAGTAATGATTACACAAATTCTTAAGATTTCATTTTGATCTATTGACTTGATAATCATTTAGTTTAACGTCATCTCGGACGTTACATTTATAACGTCATACAATTTTAAAATACTAAAAATTTTATACACTAATTCTAAATATAATACTGCGCCTCATAATTAATAAATTTACTAAGGTATATTACGGCATTACATCATCAAACTGCGCCTAATTATCGAGACATGTTGCACATAAATGAATATAAATTTACAAACTTTGACTTAAAATGATGCGCCACCATTTTATTTTTATTATAACAATCATACATTTATTTTTTTCTTTCGCTTACAATATGGCATGTTCGAAAATATTTTCAGGAGATTTACCTGAACTAATATATGAAATCATCAAATATTTTCAGAATGATTATTCAACCTTATATTCATGTGTCTTAGTTAATAGGTTATGGTGTCGTTTAGCGATTCCATTATTATGGGAAAATCCATTTTCAATTCCAACCAAAAATCATAATTTTATTATAATTTACTTATATAATTTGAATGATCGTTGCAAAATAATATTAAATGAATATCAAATTATTGATAATTTATTACTTTCAAATTCACTTTTCAATTATCCTAGTTTTTTAAAATATGTGAATATTGACAAGGTTATTTCTTCAGTTGCGGAATGGATGCTTGAAGTTTCAAACACAATAAATAGATATTTTTTACAAGATAATTTTGATAAATTAGTTTGTATATTACTGTTTGAAATGTTTATTGAAAATGAAGTAAGCTTACATACCCTTGAAGTTGACACAAGCTTTTCTTGCATCAAATATTATGATATGATTCTTGAGATGATTATACGAAATCCAAATTTCATTCACAATGTTAGAAATTTAAAACTTTCTATTTTGAGTTCTATTAATGATACGCTAATTAAAAACCTTATATCACAATTAATTAATTTACAAAAAAATCTCAAAAAAATATCCTTTAGTTCTAATACCCTTCCTTTATATCAATCATTATTATTATCAAAAGAATCTAATTGTTCAAATACCTTAAATACAATCATTTTCCGTGATATCGATTTTAGAGGTATAAATAATTTAGATAAAATATTTGAACAATTAAATGTTTTAGAATCTGTTCATGTCATTTTTTGTTATTCTTTAGATAATTTTATTCAACAAATTATTAATTTAACTAAACCATTTAAATTAAAATCTTTATCTATAAATGAGGTTTTACAAATTGAATTATTACGATTACTATTGCAAAAATCTGGTAATTATTTAGAAAATGTTGAGTATGGAATTGAAAACATTGTGGATTTTAAACTGTCATTAAAACAACTATTTTTAAAGTTAATTATAAAATATTGTAAAAATATCAAGTTTCTTTATGTGTATAGAATTGAAAGCAATACTTCTACAATCATATTCAGTTTAATCGAAAATATTAAGCAAAATCTTAATTATCTTTCAATCCATTTATCGAATTATCAGGATAGAAATAGAAATAACAAGTTAAATTTAACAATACTACAAAATTTAGGAGCAATACTTCCTCCTAAACTAGAATATTTATGTTTTAGTTTTTATAATATTAAAGCAGATGATTTTGAAGTATTCTTAAAAAACTCTCAAGATACTTTCTATAAGACATTGGTAATTAATAATACAAAAGAAGCATTTCGTAATGGTATTGATATTTTACCTTATATAAAAGAATATATTATGAAGAAGAAAAGAGTCAAATATTTGGCTATTAGATATATATATGTGTGTAATATTTTTGGAGAAATTCAGGAAATAGATTTGTCTAATTTGAAAGATGAAGTGAAGGAATTTGAGTTGTATAATATTGAAGTTTTAAATTATATTATATTAGCTACTGACATTTATAGATTTGTAAATAAGATTGATTAGCTATTTAGTGGTTATTTAATATGTCAGATAGAAATATTTTTTAAATGAAAGCTACTTTATAAATTACTTATCAAAAAAATAAATATTCATATATTAATAGCAATTAATAATTTTAAGAAATTTTTATTATCCATGATAATTTTATTAAATATTAAATAAGTAAAAATAATTTATGTAAATTACTACTAACCATCTGTATACTTCCTGATTTACCATGTAAATGATATTTTCAAAGGGGTTCCTTAATGTACAGTGAGGGTGTACGATATTAACATACAAACTGGCTGGAATTAATAACGCTATCACGTGCAAGTGAATAACTCCTAAACTTCCTAAACTCGGGCTAGTTTGTACGTTAAATTGTACATCCCCATTGTACGTTAAGAATGCCCATTTTCAAATATTATTTCTCTAAACTTTGCTAGAAAACCTTGGCTAAACTTCCTTTACACTAAATTCTTCGGTATTAATGGGCCTACATGTACAGTATAAGAATAACACAACCGAGTTAAATTAATTTACTCGCACTGCCACTGCATATGATATTTTTGGATATAAGGATTTACATGATTTAAACGTTGAGGTGGAAGAATTTAGATTGCATAGTATTGAAGTTCAAAAATGTTATGATTTAACTGTTGTAATTTCAGATTTTATACAGGAAATCGATTAAAATTATTTAAAATTATAAAATAGGAATATTCATCTTTTATAAATAAATTTCATAATAAAAGGCTATTGATCATTCATAATTTTATCATGACAATTTTTTAATGTTAGGCCCTTTCCAATAAATTAATACAAATACTTATTACATGTATAAGGAATAGAATGGCGTTACAAATATTGAATATTTCTAAAAAAAGTATGTATAATGACTGGGAATCTTCGTTTACTAATTTTCCGATAAAATAGATCCCAGTTTTTAGTTTAAAATAGTTTAAAATAGGTAATTACATGTTATATTTACGTTCCAGGACCCCGAGTTATATATATATACAGTAGGTCAGGCACACATTTACTATTAGCTCTACGCATTTCTTCAGGGCCGGCACTATGTAATTATGGTCGGCATTATTCACAAATGGAAATGATCTTTCTGCGGAATAGGAGATACTTTCAGTGAAACCACCCATAGGGTGCTTCTTTGAAGGTCCTATGAACTAATGGGTCACGGTTTCGTAGTTCAACTATTGTTTCTTCTGATAATCAATTCATATCCCATTTTCGGACATTTGTGTTTAAATATTTTCCTGGTAGACAATATCGACTCCTTTACTATTATGTAGAGCATGTATGTGTAGTCTTGTGATGCAGTATAGGGTCTATTTCTTCAAAGTTTCAAATTTATAAATTCTCAAAAAGGCAAAATGTGGTTTAGTAATAACCAAACAAAGAAATAGAAACTGGATATTTATAATACTGAAAGGTGGCCAAAATAAAAAATTATAATATTAAACGCAGAAATAAAAATGTTTTTAATTGACCAGATTAAAGAAGAAATTTTCTTTTTAATATAGAAATGTAGCTAAATAAAAGATTATAATATTGACAGTTAAACGCAAAAATAAAAGTAAAATGTTTTTAATATTTACCAGAATAAAAAAAAGGAATAGGGATGATTTTAATATCGAAATATGACCAAGATACTTTTTAACGTAAATTTCTAAAATTAAAGAAATGAAAAAGTGGACATAATTTTTAAGAGAACTAAGAGAATGGAAGTTAATTTTTTTGCATGACCCCTTTAAGTTTATGTGATTAGAAATTATGGGTAAAAATAAACTACTATGTAGCCGATATTACTATTAATTATTTAGCACATTGCATCACACCACACCGTTTCCCATTTTTAGTGAAATCCTATGTAGCCATATAGTCATAAAAAAAAAGAAATTTCGAATTTGTTATTTTTAAATAAATCAAAGTGAACATAATGAGTAGATCATTTTTATTCTCAACAATAAAAAGATATTATTGGGCGTTTTTTATAAAACTAGTAACGATTTTGTTGATCATTTGTTGATCATTTATTTTAAATTTATTATAAATTTTGTCACGAGATTTTCTATGGAAATCATTTCTCAATTTGTTATTAAAACACCTGCTGAATTGCCTCGAAATTGAAAATCATTTCCCTTTTTATAAAAAATTTCCTTTTTGGTAAAAAACTCTCAGATTAATCTTATATAACTTTATNAAGTCCCTGTTAAATTGTTGCATCATTCAATATTTGCATAATTTCATTTTTTTGTTGATCATTAAAATTTCATAAAATATTGCAAAAAAATAAAAAAAATTGTAAAAAAAATGTTTCAGCGTTTTTTCATATAATATTATTAAAAAAAATGCCAAAAACTTTTTTTTTTGCATTACTATTAAGAAAAAAACGTTTTGGCAAAATGTCAAGACTGACGTTTTTAATTAAAAAAAACCAATATTTTTTTGATTTTTAATCACAAAAATGTCAAGTCTGACGTTTTTAATTAAAAAAATCATTTTTTTTTGATTTTTTAATTAAAAAACGTCAAGTCTGACGTTTTTAATTAAAAAAAAACCAATATTTTTTTAATTTTTATTTTTTAATCACAAAAATGTCAAGTCTGATGTTTTTTAATGAAAAAAATCATTTTTTTTATTTTTTAATAACAAAAACGTCAAGTCTGATGTTTTTAATCAAAAAAATCATTTTTTTTGATTTTTTAATTACAATAACGTCAATTCTAACGTTTTTAATCAAAAAAATCATTTTTTTTTGATTTTTTAATTACAAAAACATCAAGTCTGACATTTTTAATCAAAAAAATCATTTTTTTTGATTTTTTAATTACAAAAACGTCAAGCCTGACGTTTTTTAACTAAAAAAGTCATTTTTTTGTTTTTTTAATTACAAAAACGTCAAGCCTGACGTTTTTTAACTAAAAAAGTCATTTTTTTGTTTTTTTAATTACAAAAACGTCAAGTCTGACGTTTTTAATAAAAAAATCAATTTTTTTTATATTTAATTATCAAAATTTTCGAGTCAATCTGACAGTATAATGATTATAACTCACTAATAATTACCAAGTTACTCTAGTTCTCTAAGACAATTTTATATAGAAACCGTATTACCATACTTTTTAAACTAAATAAAGGTAAGAGAAATGAAAATATTTTGTTCTGGGCTCACAAAATGCAACATATCTGCAAATGGTCACCGGGATTTACACACCAAATAATAATTTAAACATTGAAGCTTATATTAATTTTGTGTAATTTTTTAATAACTCGCAAAATGTATTTAATCCTTTATTGTTTATTTAATGTAAATAAATGTACATTTTTATCATAGTTTTGTTTTTTTTCAAAGCTATTATACAACTTAGATAAATAAATATTGCAAAAAATAAGTATAATTAAGAAGTCTCAAGATTTTGTGATGATGAAATTGCACTAAATACTTCACTTTTCATATACCTGATATTCATTACGTGTTTAAGCTTTTGCCTTTTTGGCAATGGCTCCATTACCTCTATCTCATCATTTAACTCTTGATCCGCAGATTTCATATTTATCTGTATTAATGCCACTGCCTTACTTCTTGGAAGAGTAAATGTTCCTATTATTTCATCATCAAAGTAAAAAAATTGCCAATCATCTCGTAAATCTGTAAGTACTGCCAAAACAGCATGTATAGATTTTAAATCTCCGGCAGTTAGTTCTGCCAAAGCTTGGTATAAATTTCCATCACTGATGGATTTCTTTAACTCAAAAAGGATCCGAATGTGATGTTGAGGGATCCTAGAAGAAATAGAAAGCCTATCCACTACAGCTGCATCTGTAGTACCAACGAGTTTTATTGGCAGGGTATCATCTCTTATACTTAGAAAATTATTATTATTGGTTGTATCATAAATCTCAAGTTTTCTATATTTGGAAATTTGGAGTAGCTTCTAAGGTGAGGCAAATACCTATCCTTTTTCTCTCTTTCTGTTCTGTCATCCCATTGGAATGCATTATTTTTTGTCTCCTGCTTTAGTTTAAGGTCAATTGCCTCAAACTTGAGACCAGTAGACATTCGTATTTTTTCCCATTCACTATATTTTATTTTAGAAATGTCTACTTCGGATTTCTGTAACCCTTTAACTAAATTCTCAATATTTTCCAATTTTTGGATAACTTTTTGATTATTTTCGTTATTTTCTTTAATAGCTAAGAGTTAGATTGAAGAAGGTTAAAGAAAATAAATCAAACAAGTTATCTACAAGCATTTACAATTAAAATTATTAATACAATTCACAATGAAATACCTTTTTCTAATTTATTCTTTTTTTTCTTAGACCTCTCTTTTCCAGTAATGTTAGTAATAAATTTGAATATTCTATGTTCGTGATACTATTATCAATATTATTTAAATTATTGTTATTTGAGGGCATAAAAATATTGGTATTCGTTGTGATAATATTATCACTTATATTAACTGAATTTGTTTTATCAGTTAATTCGTTCTTTACCTTTGGAAAATAAGAAATTATGAGAAGTACTTTCCAGAAAGTGTAGATGCAGAAAGGAAGGCAACTGATTCCCCTCCAGAATTTAGTGCTTGACAGAATAAATCTGAAAAACATGCAAGCAATAACCAGGGGCTATTGTGCCCCAAGCGAGAGTGCTGTGTTTAAAAGAACAAATCTGACAGATGTGCACCAAATACAGGAGGAAATTTGCTTAAACTCTTAGATAGATGCGGGAAAGGAAGGTACATAACTGATTCTTCCTTCAGAATATGTAGACCTTTACCAACTGCGCTTGACAGAATGAATCTGAAAAACATGCAAGCAATAACCGGAGGCTAAGCCCCAAGCGAGAGCGCTGTGCTTAACAAATCTGACAAACGTGCACCAAATACAGGAGACAACTTACCTAACCCTTTTACTAAAAGCCCAAACCCTTTGATAGGTTTGGTAAGCAACCTTAAGGCAAATTACCTATTACACTTACCCTCTTATCATTTTTCCTATTTATTAATCTATTGACAGTATCGCGAACTTTCACAGAGGCACTTAAATCGCTCTAATTATATAGAGGATATTATAGAATATCCCATTATTATTTTCTGTTTGACCGAAATTGTCAGACACCCAGGAAGTAAAATGGCCAAAAGACCACTTTTCGTAGGGGACTATCTCAAAGTAGTGCATTTTCCCCCTCTTCAACTCTTTAAAATAATAGAAACATTTAATTCTAAGAAGTGAATTTTCATATTAATAATATAAAATACCTACCATATGAGAAATTACTTTCAGTTGCGAGAGCAGACATTGGACGATTTACTACAAAATAATTACGGAATGCGCTGAAGAACAAATATATAGGGTATGCAAGATTTAAGCGTATTGATACGCGTACCGTTGTAATACATCATAATCGCGTCCGATAATCAATCAATTACATAGTTAAATTTATTGTGGTATATAAATTATATTCCGCTGAGCCCATTTTCTCACAAAATTTGTTTTACAATGTATTTGAATAGTTAGTACTTCTGTTAGATTCAGTCTAGTTAGGTCAGCTTGAGTAGTGTCGTTAGATTAATGGGGATAAATAACAACATAGTATAGAATACTTAGTATAGTTTTTTATATTTAGTATTAACGTCAGTTTATAGTTTATACATCTATAATTATTATGGAGCTGTCTCTTATACACATCTAGATGTGTATAAGAGACAGGTATAGAATACTTAGTATAGTTTTTTATATTTAGTATTAACGTCAGTTTATAGTTTATACATCTATAATTATTATGGAGTTAGTAGGTAGTATTTTATAATATGATTGCTTCTAACTTATGTTTACGCAATTATAAATAAAGAATGCATATTACTAACAAAAAAAAAAAAAAAAATATTCGCTGAGCCTATCGATTTTCGGTTCTCATCACACGAGTTAACTTTTTCAAAATTTAAAAATATTTTATGTAGGTTCTCTGATTGATTTCATTCCAATGTTACTCGACCAAAAATCGGAACTTCGACGTGTGTTATGGAAGTGATGAGATTTCCTGTTGCTAGTAGTAGTATCGATAACAATTTAAAACAGTTATGAGAAGCATCCGGATTTTGATGCATTTAGCACAAATTGGCTGTCATTAAGGCTAGTTCCAATGCTAAATATATGGAGAGACAAAGATTATCCGACGGTGCGATAAATACCCATTCTAAATTTTTTTCTCTTACTATGTGTCTAGGTTCTTGCGTAAAATAGGTCAATAACCTTGATTAGCCTAAATTTATTAAAATTATTGGACAGTAATTGTAATTCTTGAACAACTCAAATCGAAGAATTCTATCGTATGTATTCCCAGATACAAAACAGGCACGAATGAAGAATAGTACAAATTTATCAGTAATTAAATCCAAAGGTAAACAAAATTGCTACACTTAGCGGTTTCACTGTATTATTCTGTACGTGCCACAACATAAAAAGCCAGTTTAGATAACATACAATAGGGAACAATTGTGACACGCTTAACTTATAGAAAATAGTGCGTTAATAACTGTTGTTATATTACTATCTTGAGACAAAAACATAAATACGAAGTCCAGTGATCCTTAAATCCATAAACACGAACGATTAATATTCTGGGAAGATAAAACTCTTTATCTCGTCATCTCTGTAATACCTACCTATTTTCAAAATGTACCCCTTTAAGTATGGAACAGATATTTCCACAAGCTTCATTCCTTTGCAAACCTTTTCGATCTAAATAACTGTATTAGTTGATCTTCAAGGGATCTGTGTAGAACATTTTAAAAATAATTTATAAGGGATTATCGTTCACATTAAAAAATCATAATTCATACAAAAATTAAATTGTAGGCAATTTAGAGGTTTGGATTATTTTTATGACGATCAGATTTATCGAACGTTCAAAAAAAGTGATATATTTATCATGGTGGGAGTTGATCTTTCTAACTTGATTTAGTGAGTGAAGAGGACTCACTATTAAAATACTCCATGTTGTTTAGTTAAAGGTGAAATTGGTTCAGATTTAACGAACTCTCAAGAGAAAAAGATGCCCTTTATTTTATGTTTATTTGGTGGGAGTTTATATAATATTTTTATATCGTTATCAAGGGATCTGGGTCGTAAGTGAAATACTTAAAAAGGAATGATGATATCATTGTTTACGTCTTATTGGATAATTGTTACTCAAGAATTCGAACAATTATACTTTTTATGGTGAGGGTTAATATTTTTGTCTTAACTTAGTTGCAATTTCATATGAAAACAAATTCGCTGATTTTTATGCTTTTTTTTTTAGGGATCCATTACTGTTTCATATTGAACAAACATAAATAAGGTAGAACTTTTTGTTTACGATTATCAAATTATAGCGTGATTTATATCAAAAAATTTATTATTCACGTCTTATTTAATAATATTGGACAAAAAATGGATTGGTAGGCGATTTAGGAGTGAGGATTTTTCAATTTATCCGTACGTTCAAAAAAGAAAGGTGGCTTCTTATTATGCTTATCATGTTGGGAGCAGACGTGATTTATTTATAATAACGTGAGTGAAGAATTTTAATTAATGGATTCTCAATTAAAATCATCTATCAGATAATTTCATATCAAAAATCGTTCGTGACGCAAGGATGGATATTATTTGGCATTTGTAATTTGTCCTATTTTCATGTCCAAGAATAAAGCAATCACTTTCAAGCTTTTTGATTATCTTTTTTTAACCAATCAACCAATTCTTTTGGACAATTATCAGCTCTAATTCCACTTTTGTCTAATCAAAATAGAATTGCTCTTGAAGGTTTACAAGCATGCAGTCCGGCAATTATTTCATCTAGTGCTAACAATGTTGTTTCCATTCATGGCGAGCAAGATTTAATGAACGTTCAAGGGAAAAAGATAACCTCTTTTATGCTTATTATGGTAAGAATTGATAATTTTGTTTGGTTTGGTTATAATGTCATATACAAAGAAGAATTTAATTAATGAGTTCGTTAATCTTTAGTTTTAATATGAGTGATCCAATATAGCGAACAGAAAAAAACTATTGGTTAAAAGGTGAAATTTTATTTTTTGATTTCGTTATTATCGTTTATCCCTTAATCGTCACCATTTACACAATTACGAAATCATATACTTACCGGGCAGTCCGGACAGTGAGTATATGCATATTCGTATAAAAATTGTAAATTGTGTAAATAATCCGCAGTTGATATCTGCAGTTTCAGTGAAATAACTAAAGGTCACGGTCTCGTTACAGTACTTACTAGTAAACTATATATCCGCAGTCGTCTATTTTTAGAGTATCACAATCTATTAATAAACCTGACCAATAAAAACATGTTGCGTAGTTTGTGTTGCTTTCGTCATAATTCCAACTATTTATCTCCACAGTTGTCCACTTATTTTCTTTACAACAGTTTGTGTCACATAATATGATAATTTTTCAAAAAATTTCTCTACACATATTTACCAATTTTTATTCGAAGACTATAGGGTTCTGTTTGAATATATTTGTTTCTCGAATAATGGAGAGTATGCTGAAGACTCATAAAGAGTTAAATGAACATATTTCACTTTGGAATCTAGTCTTGATCCGGTGATCTCGTTCAGGCTTCTCAACTCCATTTGAGATGTTTAAGTCCAAGTTAAAGTAATTATTTCGTTTGGTATGTTACAACTCCACGTCTAACTTTTTTAAAATAATCTCCAGAAAACATCATAAAATTTAATCAATGGTTGAATTTATGAAGAATTCTTTTAAAAATATTGAATTTTTCTTGATTCCATTTAGTAACATCTTCATTGCGTGAAATTCTTTGAAATTTGGTTCTCTCCCAATATGAATGATAACATCATAATTAGTTTCACTATTAAGTAGTCGAGTGCTTTTGAAAGATCAGAGTCAAATTTATACATAATTATTTCTGTTTATAATTTAAATTTACTTCTTTTCGCACGATTAAAATATTGATTTTAAATAAAATTTAGTAAATGATGAAATGAACGATCCAATTAAAACTTGGCAAGATTCATGTGATTTTGGTGATCGTCATACTTTACGCCACTTGTGATACTGTGAATGTCTGTGATACTGTGATATCACCATACATTACTTTTCGTCTTACCTGTCACAAACAATAAAATAAATAATACATTATTTTTACGCCAAAAATTTTTTGACAATAACGAAAAAAAAAAATAAAAATAAAAATGTCGAAATTAAATAAAGATATTCTTTATTTAATATTTGAAGAATTACAAGATAATAAGGAGTATCTTGCTTCATGCCTTACAGTTAATAAAACTTGGTGTGAAATAGTTATTCCAATATTGTGGAAAAATCCCTGGAGATACTACTTAAATAATAAGAAGGAATTATCATTATTAAACACAATCGTTTCACATTTATTAGATGAAGCAGGAAATGGATTAAGTCAGCATTATAATTTTTTTGCAAATTCATGTAAGAAACCCTTATTTAATTATATTAGTTTTTGTAAACATTTAAATTTAGAAAGAATCGAAGAGTTAATTAAAGGGACCAATATTAACGATATAAATGATATACTTAATCTTTTCATTAATGAAAATATGGAATATACACACCTTTATATATCCCAAAATTTTGATTATAATTTCATAACTGGAGCAGAAATTTGTTTTTCAAAAATTGAATTTCTTAAGTTTAATAGTATAGGTAATGATAAGTTTTTATCAATATTAACGAAAGTGTGCAAATCGATTAAAGTATTGAAACTTAATATTTATGGACCTGATTACAACGATGGAATTGTCAAGTTAATTGAAAACCAAAAAAAATTATTTGATATTAGTTTTCTAGATATTGACAAACCATCTTGTAAAATTATTGAAAATTCATTGATCAAACATGCAAATACTATACAATATATTAGTACATGTGAACAATTTGAATCAAAAGTTTTTAGGTCTTTTGTAAATTTAAAAATTCTGGAATTGAATGGTAACAAGACCAATAAAGAATGGTATAATATAAGGAATTTATTTTTACCTTCTTTACAAGCTTTAAATGCTATTGATATTCCAATTGATTGGTTTGCAAATTTAATTGAAAGTTCGGGAAAAAAACTTACCAAAATTTCTTATTATAATTCTGATAAAAATGCTAATAATGAGGTTTATAATAGAATACTTATTCAAGCTATTTATAACAATTGTCCAAATATTATGTATCTTGAATTATTATATAAGAACGAGAATATTTTAGATTTAGAAAAATTATTAATTAATTGTCAATATCTAAAAAGATTAGGTTTTTATTGTTATTATCGTGAAAATTTATTTTGTCAAACTGAAATACAAAAATATATTGAGTGGGATAATTTATTCAATATTTTAGCTATATCATCACCACTTGGTTTGTTTGAATTCAATTTTAAAGGTACGAATGAAAAACCTGAATTGGAATCTTTAAAACTATTTTTTGATAATTGGGAAGGTAGACATCCTATTATTTTAAAATTTCAAATGGAGGGAAATTATCGTAAAGTAATAAATGATGAATTAATTGATCTTGTAAAAAGATATAAAGAAAAGGGTGTAATTAAAGATTATGTCTATTATTCCAATTTTTTTCATCGTGGATATACAAATATATTAGATAAATATATAGTAGAAGTAGCAAAAAAGAAAAAACGACTGGAACAAGATTAATTATTATGATAGATAACTTTTTTAGTATACAAATTAAAATAATAGCCATATAGGGGATTGGGGATTTCATTTATTTATTTTCTTCATATTTGATGATATTTACGTTACCATACGTAAAATTTCATAATATTTCATTATTTATATTAATAAAGTATCTATTTTCAATACAAGTAGGGATTTATTATTATGCTATGACACATTGAAATATATATATATATATATATATATTTTTTATGCAAGTATTTAAATTTACACGGACATGAAACGATTGCAACGATTATAATTTCAATAGGAATTTTCATAGTTGTGACACTGTTATGAAATGACAGAAATGACGATTAGTTAATCAATTCTAGTAAAATAAGTAAAATAGCACCGAGACCCACGTAAATATTATGTAAGAGCATAAATTAATAAGAAAATTCATTTAGGAAATATATTTTGAAAAGCACGCAATTAAATTGCCGATCTTATCCGGATTGTCAATTGGATAACCCTTTTTTTCTTCATATGATTTACGTCAATTTTGTAAATTGACATGTGTCAAAAAAGAGAGCCTGCACATCAATACGTCATAAAAAATTTAAGCTTGCACCTGATTTAATAAAAATTGTACGACAATATCGAAATTAATATCCCGAACATTATTATAACTTAACATAATCTTCCCTTTTACTTTCTTCTCTTACAATGTCTTGTTCAAAAATATTTTCAGGAGATTTACCCGAACTTATATATGAAATTATAAAATATCTATGGAATGATTATTCAACATTACATTCATGTATACTAGTTAATAGATTATGGTGTCGTTTATCAATACCATTATTATGGGAAGATCCATTTTCAATTCCTAATGAAAATTATAATTTTATAACAATTTATTTACATTATTTAAATGATGATGATTTTAAAATTTATAAAACAAAATTAAATGAATTTAAGATTAATAATTATTTATTAACTTCAAATATATTATTATTTAATTACCCAAAATTTATTAAATATTTGAATATATCAAAAATTATTTCTTTTGTTAAAAAATGGGTCATTTCTGAATTTAAAATGTTATTGAATGAAAATTTACTTGATTTTAAAAAATTGATTATTAAATCTTTGTTTAAATTATTTATAAAAAATGAAATAAGTTTAAATATTCTTAATATTGAAATTATTCCATATACTTATTATGTTTGTTTTAGTGATATTCTTGAATTAATATTAAAAAATCCAAATTTCATTCATAATATTAAAATTTTAAAACTTCAAGTTGATGAAATCCCATATGCTAATTACTCATTTCATGATAATAATAGAAATAATTTAATTAAAAATTCTTTATCACAAATAATCAATACACATAAAAATCTCAAAAAAATATCATTTGGTTCTAATAGTCTTCCTTTATATCAATCATTATTATTATCAAAAGATTCCAATTGTTCAAATACATTAAATACGATCATATTCTATTATGTAAACCTTGGTTATATTTATAATTTATATGAAATATTTGAACAATTAAATGTTTTAGAATCTGTTCATATCGTTTATTGTTCTTTAAATGTTCATTTTATTCAACAAATTATTAATTTATCTAAACCATTTAAATTAAAATCTTTATTTATGGGTGAAGCATTTCAAATTGAAGTTGATTTATTACAATTATTATTACAAAAATCTGGTGATTATTTGGAAAATTTTGAGATTGGATTTGGTTATAATTTATTGGGATCAAAATTACTTGAATTAATTATGAAATATTGTAAAAATATCAAATTTCTTAATTTAAATGGAATTAATGATCAGATTGTTTATTCTGTGATCAATTTAATTGAAAAACAAAATCTTAATTATCTTTCTATTGATATCGATAAATTTTTAAGTGGAAGAAGCATTGTTGAAGGTTATGTCAAACGTAGTTCAATCATATTACAGAATTTAGGACAAATCCTTCCTTCTAAATTAGAATATTTAAATTTAACACTTCATATTAAAGCAAATGATTTTGAAATATTTTTAAAGAATTCTCAAAATACTTTTATTAATAAATTTTTGATAGATAATAAGGAAGGTGATGATATTTTAATAATTTTACATTATATTAAGAAATATATTATGAAAAAGAAAAGGACAAAATATTTGGCTATTACGAATACTTTTGTTGGTAGTTCTGCATTTGATATCTTTGGATATAAGGATTTATTTTATTTAAACGATGAAGTGAAGAAATTTAGGTTATATAATATTAAAGTTCGAAAATATTATGATTTAAATGTTTCAATTTCGGATTTTATAAAAGAAATCGATTAATTATTTAGTGATAATTTAAAATCTACTAAATAAGAATCTCATAAATTCATTTAAAATGTTTATAAATTAACCATTTAAATAATTAAAATTATTATTAAGAAAATTTTTATCATATAAGTTATTATAACAATTTTTTAACACTAAGTACTTCCAGATGTATGAAATTACGCATAAATAACTGAAATAGAATAGAATTACTTAATTTTTCAAACTGAATAATAAGACGATGCTACTGTAATTCTGAAGCTGGTCCTAAATTTAATGTATTCTGAATTCATATTTGATGATATCTATTTCATTGATATCTGGCCAGAGTTAAACCTTAGACTTAGAAATTCTTTTCTTTCTTAAATTTTTCATTTTCATATTTATTATTATTTTCGTTTAGAAACTCAGGAATAGTGTAATTTTTATCAAAATTTAATAAAATTTATTTTTATAAATTGAAGTGGCAAATGTTTTTATGACTGGTTCAACTTTCGGTCTTATTCGGCCTTTATTCTGGTCTGCATCTGAAATTTTTGTGTCCAGCGGCAGCGGGATTGGTAAATATTGATAACTAACAAAAATTGGTCTCTATTCTGCTTTTTCTAAAGCTAGCAGAGACAAAATTAGCCAAAGACCGAGAAAAAAAAATAGATTTAGGTCATGAAAACTAATCTAGTCTTGAATTGGCTATTTGGAGTAAAACCATACTTTACCACATTTCGGTCCTTAACGAATCTACTGCGAAACAAAAGTTTAGAGGCACAGTTCCCAGAAAATTTCCAAGACCAGTCAAGACCGCAGGACAGGCATCTTTAGGTTGATTTATCTTACAAGATATTTGTAGAAAGCTATAGAATATTACAAAATAATCAGTTCTGATGATTAATAATTTTAATTCATTATTTATTTTTACTGTACAGAGTAAATACAGGCCTCAGTAACTATTACAAGGATACTATCCATGTACCAAACACATGACATTTTCTATTACACGTGACTAATTAAACTTACCCATCTTTCTAATGTTAAAATAAAATAGATAAATAAATAACTGATCGAGCAAAGAAAAGATTTCTTCACGCATTTTTTGAATAGATGGGACAAGCAAAAAATTACAAAAAAGAAGTATATATTAAAGTTTGTGCTAATAAATGCTTCAATGTCTATCTTTACCGAAATTCTCACGAATTTTAAGATGATAATTTTATGTTACTTATTTGCGTATTAAATATAATCAGTAAACTATTTCTTTTGTTTTTTTTTGTTTTCAAAAAGTTTATAACATGACAATTAGTAAAGTTGTAAAAGAAAATGTAAGCTTTAGACAAAAATTAGCATTATTTATTTCTTTTGTTTTTTACCATATTTTAAAGAAATTTAAGTAATAACAAGATTTCATCATTATTGATTTTTTAAAAGTTAAGGAAATCTTTTTGAGAGAATAAACATAACTTTAACTTTTAGTAATAATAATTTAGAATCAATCCCTAGTTAACTTCATTTTTACAAATTTCATAATAATAAATAAGTTACAAAAATATCTTTATTTTTACTTTTTATTTTATTTATTAGTAATTAATTTGAATCCATTTTGTAGTAATATTATTTTTAGTTTTAACTAAATATAGAAAGCTTTTAGTTTTAATATAATTTCAATAAATAATAGGATTTAAATAAAAAAATTTTTATTTGAGATTTCATGTACGTTTATAATATTATCAATGATGTTTTCAAATGGTTAATCAGATCTTTAAAAGGTTCGAAATTTTTTCAATAGCGTTCAATAATATCATAATTTGACTTATATTAAATTATTCTCCAATCGTATATGAGTGAAAATAAATGAAGAACTTGAAAAATATAATTTAAGATATATTAAACTTGATATATTGGTCTTGTCATAATTATCACAACTATTACACTATACATAAATACATATCACGAATTATCATGTAAATAACAAATTAATCTATTATTATTCGTTATTCCAAAAAATTTTTATATGATTACTTCATTATAATTTCATTGATAATTAATCTAGTTCTCCCTATATTCGTCTAACCAGCTAACAACTCTATTCTCTGGCCCGACCTGAATTCTCCATAATAATTATACTTGATAATTACTTACTAATACAGATTATTCAAATTTTCTATTCAATTTATAATTCCAAGCATAATACCAAAGATGTTGATTTGGTTCAATTGGAATAGTTCCATTACTTTTTAATTTATTAACCCAATGTCTAAGTGGTGTCTCCCCAACATCTATTAAAGTTGGTTTCAAACAATCCAACATATATTTAAATAATAAATCACCAGTAAGTTCAGGGATTTCAAGTAAACTAGCAACAAAATCAGCTGATTTAACTTTAATTGTTATTGGTCTCCAAATTTCTTCAACACCCATGCCTCTTATCCAGTAAGCATCAATTCCAAGTACAAATATATGCTTAGAGTTAAGTTTTGAAAATTTTCCACTGTAACTTTCTTGATAAGGATGAATTTTTAATGGATCTTTAAATTCAATATTCACATCATCCATGTCAAACGAATCACTGAAATAAAATTGAAATGTGATTTGTGATTAGTATCAATTTATTTTAAAAATAATATAATTATTCTTGATAAATTAAAACGCATACCTGTCATCATAATCTTTATCTTCATCACTTAAAAAATTAAATAATTGTTAAATGATAAGTAAGCATAAATAAATAATACAATTAATCTTGATAAATTAGAATACATACCTGCCTTCATCTTCATCTTCACTTAAAAATTAAATAATTGTAAGCATAAATAAATAAAATGCATAAATATAAAAATATAATCTATTTATAAACTCTACCTTAAGATTTCCAAGTCATTAGTAGGTAAGATTACAACAGATGCTGTCCAGCTAGCAGACAAGTATTCTTCATAATTAGCCTTTTGCATATTTGTAATAATAGCTGTTACCGATACATCACTATTTATAGGAGAAGTAATGTTAATTCCAGTTCTTTCAACTACAGTGAAATAATCATTATAATCCCTGATTTTATCAAAGGAAGAAATTGTTTTGGTATATGGACGTATAGACTCAAAAATAGCTTGAGTTTCTGGATCAAGTAATATTACATCTGGCTTTTTTTGTTTTACAGGAAATTTCTCAATTATATTATGAGCAATTGATAATAAATCTTTATCAAGGTTTGAAAGTCGAGGATAATTATCAATTGCAAATTGACGAAACCAGACTTTAGTTAATGTAGTACAGATCCTAACAAGTGCCAATTTATAAGAATTTTCTTGATCTTTAGAGATCATTGGAATAAGATATCTTTCAAGTGCAATAACCATTGCTTCTTCTTTTATACAATTAATTTTTGTTTGATAGTCAAGTTTTTCAAAAAGGAATTTTTTTATCAATGCTTTAGACTATATTGTAATTATTTAATTAAACAATTAGTATTTAAATGAAAGTTTAATTAAAATACATAATCATTATTGTCATTAAGGTAATTACCTGGCCATCCCTTAAACCTTGATAAATTGGATGATCACCATATTTAACAAGTTCATGTAAATCTTCACGGGGAATACATTTTTGTACAAAAAGATTATCTTCATTTTCCAAGAAATCATCATTGGACATATTTAAGTTGATATGTTCGCCTGGTTTGCCTTGTATAATTTCAGTTTCTTTAATACGAGTTTCTAATATAAGTTCAATTAACTCATCACGTTGTGGACTACATAGTGGTTGAATTATTGAAACTTTATCTTTATTATAATCTCTTAACAAATGTAAATCTGAAATATTTTTATGAAAATCCGCTGGCCAATAAATTTGAGATGTTTTCAAAGCTTCAAGAATTTTTAATGGAGCAACAATGCATAAGAAATTTGACAATAATGGAAGCATTGTTTTATCTTCAATATTACGACATAATTCTAAAATCATTAGAGCGCTCATTTTTGGGTGAACATCATTAAACCTTTCAAATTCAATTTTATTGATTTCATCTTTCATATTATCTTCAGAATCTTCAGCATTAGATTTTTTTGAATTATTTTCAAAAACGTCAAAATTTAATTCAACATCATCTTGCATATTATCTTCAGAATCTTCAACATTGGATTTTTTAGAATCATCTTCAAAAACGTCAAAATTGAATTCAACATCATCTTGCATATTATCAACTTTCATATTATCTTCAGAATTATCTTCAAAGATGGATTTCATGTTTCTGAGATCCACTTTCTCAGAGACAAGTTCAATATCAAAACTAATAAGTTTTTTATCTGTTGTATATTGATCAATATACTCTCCAGCAAGTTTTAGTCCACCTCCTGGATAATAAATTAATTTTATATTTTTAAAAGTAGCATTAGATTCTTTAATTTTATTAATAAATAAAGTTGTTTGTAAAGGAGTTGCCATCAAATCCCAATCATTAGGTTCACGAAAAGAAAAAATATGCCATTTTGCAGCACGTGAACCAATAAGAACAGGATAATCTATAAGTGGATTGTTGTCTTCATTCTTGATAATATTATTTAAAATGGTTAATATTTTCTTATAATTATCAGCAAGGATTTGAGGATTAGTCATTTTTTTTTTTTAAGGAAAAAAGTAAAGGTTCAGTGTTGAAAAAGAAGTTATATCTGAAGTTTCAAAAATAAAGATACTGAGAAACTATTTCAACGGCAAGTTGTTTTGAAGTGAGAAAGTATTGAGGAAGCTAAAAAAAATTATCTTAAATATATATATGTTTGAAGTATGAATCATTATAATAATATGATTTATTATTAATCATCAAATACTGTCATATAAACTTTATTTAGTTAGTACAAACATTACATCATGAAGATTAATAATTATTGCCCAGAAATAATTGATCAACTTTTATCTTTGAAACAAAATTCAACTTTATTTTAAACCAATGTTGATTTACTCTGTTGCAATGCAATAAGTATTCAATTAAATTTTACACACACATTAAAATTTATTAATAATGATAAAATTTTGATATTTAATAAAGTATAATAATTATAACCCATTATTTTTGCAACAAACACATTGTGAGTTTACTAAAATTATATGTAAACATATGGTATGTGACGTAACCCTTAGTCATAGACATGGCTAGGATGTAAGGATGTAACATTTCAATAAAAACGATCACGTGCCTACTTTTCTTTAAATTAGCGGGTCATGTGTAATGATGCAATACCTGTACAACATACAAAATATAGTCACAAAGTTCTACATCATCACCTGCGGTGACAATCATTACTGGTATTACCTTTGAGGCTTTGATTGACATAATTCCATATTACGCCTAATGTTACACGACACAAACTGTATAACTATATCGTCATATAAGTTTATCCAGTTGACCATTGTTATACACATTTTCTCTTCGACTTGCAAAATGTCATGCTCAAAAATATTTTCAGGAGATTTACCTGAATTAACATACGAAGTCATAAAATATTTTAAGACCGATTTTTCAACTTTACATTCATGTATTCTAGTCAACAGATTATGGTGTCGTTTAGCGATTCCATTATTATGGGAAAATCCTTTTTCAATTTCTACCGGAAATTATAACTTTATCGAAATTTACTTAGATAATTTAAACAGTGATTCAAAAACAAAATTAAGTGAATATAAAATTAATGATTATTTATCACCTTCGAATACACTTTTCAATTATTCTAAATTTATAAAATATTTAAATACAGTGGAATTGATTTTTTCTGTTGATAAGTGGTCTTTTAAAACTTTGAAATTCGGAATCAGCCATTCTAATTTTATCAGAATGTCACTATTTAAAATATTTATAGAAAATGAAATAGAATTACATAACCTTGACATTGAGATCTTCAGTTATTATAGTTATCTTGATATTCTTGAGTTAATTTTACAAAATACAAATTTCATTCAGAATATTAAAAATCTAAACTTATATATTAATAATCATAATGAAGACATGGTAATTAAAGATCATATGATACAAATAGTTAATTTACAACAAAATCTTAAAAAAATCTTATTAGATAATAGTAATTTCTCTTTGTATCAATCATTATTGTTATCAGGTAATTCTAATTGCTCAAATACTTTAAATACCATCATATTTTATTACATTGATTTTAAATATATAACCAATTTAGATAAAATCTTTGATCAATTAAATGTTTTAGAATCTATTCATCTTGCTTATTGTTCTTCCTTAAATTCTATTTTTACTCAACATTCAATTAGACCATTTAAATTAAAATCTTTATTTTTAAAATGGGGACAACAATATGATGAATCATTAGAATTATTATTACAAAAATCTGGTGATTATTTAGAGAATTTTTGTAGATATGGTTATGATTTTTTATCTAAACGATATTTATTTGATATTATAGAATATTGTAAAAATATCAAATTTCTTGATTTACATGAAATTGATAACCAGATCATTTATCCAATATTAAATTTAGTTGAAAATGTAAAACAAAATCTTAATTATCTTTCAATCAATATTAGTATTGATAATATTAAATGTAGTTCAATCATGTTACAAAATTTGGGACAAATCCTTCCTTCTAAATTAGAATATTTAAATTTGTGCATTCCCATCAAAGCAAATGATTTTGAAGTATTTCTAAAAAATGTTCAAGATACTTTTATTAAGAAATTGGTGATCAAAAATTTACAAAATCAAGATATTTTACCCTACATAAAAAAATATTTTATGAAAAGGCAAAAAATTAAATATTTATCTATTATGACTTATGAATGGACGGATTTGTTTAATTTGGAAGATGAAGTGAAGGAATTTAAGTTACATGATATTAAAGTTCGAAGACATCATGATTTATTTATTGACACTTATAGTCAGCTTACAAAAAACATCTAAAATCTAAACGATTGATCAAATGGTTTCATTAGATTTTGTTTATTTATTAGTGATTATTAAGAAATCATTATTATTCACAATTTTATCATGTATTAAATAAAGTGAATCATTCTAAACTGGGTGATGCAAATGAGTAAATCATAAATTATACAAGAAAAATCTAAGTATTATAGTAATATCAACATAGAATTATTAAAGTCAAGTATAAAATTTTTAACTAGAATTCAGAGTAGTTAATCTTCAAACATCTGTACCTAAAGAGATTATATTGTACCAGTGCATGATGATATTAACATTATTAACACAGTTTTTTAAATTTATATATTTTTTTAAATTATAAATAATGTTAAATTTACTTATACTTTAAAATTTTTGAAATTATATATATATATTATTGAATAAAATTAACAACTGTTTAAGAATCTTTTTTTTATTTATTATAAAAAATACGCTCCATTCATGTCCAAATTAACATTAGGATGATTAATCAGGATTGTGAGCTTCGGGTTGTGTTGTAGCTGGATTTTGATCGTCGTTATTTCGTGGTAAATCCTCTTTTAAAAATGAGAATATAATAAATATAATGCGAATGAATAATGTAACCAATTATATACAAAGTTTCCCTATTTAATTTGGTAAATAAATTTATTAGTATGTTGACAATTATCCTATCTAGCCGATTTTTTGTGCTATTCGTTAAGATGTTAAGGAAAATTGCGCACAGATCATAAATAACAGTAAATGTCTATCTATTATTAATGGATAGATTTAAAAATTTCAACTTACTTTTTTTAAAAAAAAGTATTAAGATCATTCAATGTCTAATAAATTTAATAAATTTAATATTAATTAATGTTATAACTTTACTATCTCATTTTCACAAGTAAAAAGTGCTATCGTAGTAAATAATTATATTCGTTCAAATTTATAAAGAAAGATGAAAACAAAAAAAATCCATATCAAAAAAATTTTTTATAAACCTTAATTGCTATTGGCTTATCCGTCTCAACTATAAAAAAAAACCATAAAATTTTCACATAAAATTAATTATTTTTTTATATTAACAAAGATTTTTTCAATTTACCAAATGTGGGATTTCTATCCATATTTGGATGATATTGTTTATTCTTTCCTTCTCATCTTCGTTGTGAATACTATACCAGAAATTCTTTATTTTCAGAGCGTAATTGAACGAATCTATCTTCTACTATGTTCAAAACAATCTTTTTCAAGGAATTTTAGCAGATGGATTCTGCATTATATGTTCTTTATTCCATTTGTTGATAAACGATTTTTCATTGCCATAAACAAACTAGAAAAACATTTTTAAATTAAATTACAATAAATTCAAATTTAGAAAATTTTAAAACGAAAAATTACTTACAACGTGGATCGAGATGACTTATCCAACTAAATTATAAATAAACAAAAATAAAATTTTTAATTGACGAATTTGTTTTGCGACAAACCGGTTATTCATTTTTGCACTAACTAAAATAAAGCAATTGGAGCCGAAAGGTAACCATTGGAAAGATGTTCATATTCTTTTGATTTTTTTTTTTTAAAAAAAAAATTCTGGTACTAAATCCTCTTAATTATACTGAAAAGAAAAAAAAGTGTATTCATCAGGAAATTTAAATTTTATAAAATTATAACTTTTATATAAAATTAAATAATTTCTTATATAAGATTTATATACTTATAAAAAAGCTGGGTTAAATAAATTGGCAATAATATAAAATTTAATTAAAAAAACCGTTGTGAAACGCTTTTTATTAGACAATTTAAACGTTTTGCTACGTTTTTTCTTGAAAATTAAGTGAAAAACGTTCAAACCCATTTTTTTATAATAATTTAATTAAGAAATTTAAAAAATTTAAATTAAAAACGTTATTAGGGTTTACGGGTTTACATACTACTGTATATACGCCACAAAATATCATATGATCGTGATTTTTTTGATGGGTTATTTGATGAAATGGTTACATGCTTTCTTTTATAACAGTTGTTCGTTTGAAAAAGTTTAGCCAATAAATATTATTTTTACTAATAAAATATTTTTTTAAAATTAAAAACATGATGAAAATTTTGTGAAAAATACCAAGAAATTCTTTAGTATATTTGTATTTTTTGATGCATTTGGAATTAAATTATATTAATAGAAAAATGAAATGAGATAGGGAATGGGGATTGGTTTGCCATCCCATTAATATGGGTAGCATGTATATATGTACGAGCCTCAGAGAAATTGACTAAGTATATTATCTCTATAAAAAAAAATACTATTTTTTGAAGCTGCAGCCCCAAAAAGCAGCAAAATAACCAGTTACTCTTGCAGTACCGCTAAATGCGAAACATGAATCAAAATCTCCATCATCATTCCTTTTATAATCCCGGAGTATTGTGCTTACATTGTGTTTATTCGAGGTAGCTGCAATTTCTTTATTATTCAGATATATAGCAAATTCTTCTACTTGTATCAGATTCCCATCCACATCATATGTTGCCGCTCCGACAAATACATCTAATGTTTGTCCTCCTCCGAATGAAGAAGTACTTGAACAGGGAACGTAACTATTATCATTGTTCCATTCCAAGTACGAGCTAGCACACTGTGCTTGTGCGTCTTTTTCTGTTAAAAAATAATCAACACACACTTCGGCGCCATTACATTGAATAGTATCTGATGTAAAAGTGCCTGGAAAATCTTTATTTGCGCATATAACTGTCATTGATGACTTCGTAGCGCACCAGGCGCTTACAAGCTCACTGTAGTTATGATCTTTACAGACGGGAATTGTTGTTCTTTTGGAAATCAAAGTTCCATTCTTTGTTGATTCCTCTTGAGGTACTCCTACGACCATAGTTGTGATCGCAATCAAAAAAAAAATACACAATTTAGCAAACATATTCTTTTTATTAGAATGCAAAAGAAAAAGAAAAGGAAATGGGAAGTTTTTAAGTTGTTCTTGTAGAAGGATAATGTTTATGAGAATTTATCTTGAATTTTATAACATAATCATTCTCTGTATTTATTTATTTTCATGTCCTAATCACTCCCAAATAATTTTTATTTTGTTTATTTTGTCTTACATTGTTGATTGATAATGATAAAAAAGTGCCACATGTAAAAAAAAAATTTGCATTTATTCTATTCATTCTTCAGTTCTTTTTCTGATGGTCGCGACAAAAATTATGAATTATGAAAGTGTATATGGTCCGCAAATCATCTGTGAACCTGTAAATCTTACCGGCGGTCATTTATCTCAGCGACTTTAGAAATTTTTTTGTGGTCTGATCTCTATTTGTCACTTGCATAAAATGTCACACCATTTATGCGGTGTAACAAATACTAGGTGATTATCCTGTGTGGTGGACAATCCCGCGTAAGATAATCCCGAAATAATTTATAAATATAGGTATATTCCGTCTTTTTTCTTTTTTCCGTAAAAGACTCATAATTCTGGAATTAATAAGGAATTTATCGAATTGTTTACATTTTCTGTGAATGGATCCGTGAAAGGCTCATTTTACAGAGTTTTTACAGAAATAACAGATAAAATTTTTTATAGTAGGGATTCAGTACTAGTACGAATTTTGCAAATCTGTATGTACAGTACGGTTGATCATTATATTCTGCAATCACGAATGAATATGAATGAAATTTGTGACTCCTCGGATGACGAACTGAAGAAAAAGTAGAAAAAAAACAAACACAAAAGGACTGGGTAGTCTGCTTTTCCCTCTGTTTCCAATTTGACTTAATTTAATTAATTTATTATTATTTTTATTTTATGGATAGTAAAGAGAATTACAATGAAAACTAAGGAGTATTACAATGAAAATCACAAAACTATTCTAAATAATGTAACTGGAAAACATTATAGAACTTTAGCGATTAGAATGAATTATTTAGGAAACAAAAAGAAAGGAAAAAACGAAAAAAAGGAATAGTAAAAAAAGATATGAATAATATAATTAATGACCAATCACGTGATCTAAGCGATAATCAAAAAAAAATTATGTACGACTAACAGAGATTAAATTTATAGCCAGAAAATATCGATTTATATTCTTAAAAAATCAATATGTCAAAAATTCTATTCGTCATTTAGTCTACAAACATGCTTTCACTGAACCAAATGCTGAAGATTATCCATTTTTGGTTCCTTTTTACGCTAAACGTCACCCCAATGATAACAAAATTTGGACTAATATCAAACGTCTATCAAAACATCTTAATCAACCTACTCCCCCTCCAATTGTAATAGATTCTCCTCAACCGATTGAACCCTATAACCCTGTTCCTAATATGTTTATACCTGAGAAATACCGTAATATTATACCCAAAGACCCCATTTACGTTAATGATCGATTTATTATTCCAGGATCACGTGAATGGTTTACGTATATGTATAATTTGGAGATATCCATTAGAGAAAAAGTTGAACAAGAAGAAAATGAAAAATTAGAAAGATTTGAACGTGAAGTGGCGCAATCAATCAAATCAGGTTATGAAGCAAATCGAGTGAGATGGAAACAGTATGATCTCAACAGAATAACCTTATTAGAAAAGGAGCAAGAAAAGGAAAGACAAGAGGTAATGTACTATGGTACTAGCGTTAAACATCTCAAGGCCCGTAAAGAAAGTATTAAATCTCTTACGGATTCATCGAATGATTTCCACAATTATATCCCTGATCACTTGAAGAAAAAGAAGTTGCTTAAAGACGCCGGTCAAAAACGGCAAAATATCAATCGTAATTTAAAGAAATTTCTCAAAAACCACAACCTCAGACATCATCTCAATTTTTTCGACACTATATATGATCCCTTGGTTGTCTTGGATGACACTGCTACTCTAGAATCTCGCCCCAACAAACGTAATATGGATAACAGTAGGATTTTTATGTCCTTAAATAATGACTCACCATCAAAACGTTCTCATCCTGCACCAATAGAAGAAAATGACTCCGTAGTTGCGGGACCTTCAAATTCGAAATAATTCATTTTATATATATATTATTATATTTGGAGTCAATTACCCTTTTTCGAGTAGTTTAATCTACATTTTATTTTACCTTTTATTTTACAATAATATTTTACAAACAATTAAAAATAGTGTGAATCATTCCACCTCTTACAGGATTTACAGGTGGCGACCATGGTCGAAAGAAAAATCCGGATCTTTAATTTTTTTTTTAGATTGTTGTACAATTTTAGCTAGGACATACTTTTATTAACTTTTAATTTTTAGATTCCTTTTAACTTTCGGATGGGTGGGGTTCTTTTTCTTTTTTTTCTTTGTTCCCATTTGAAAGGTTAGCATAGTCCTAGCTTTTTGAATAGATAGTCCGAAGGGTGAGGTCCCGTAGGGGATTAACATCCAAAATTCTATACACGTATATTAGTTGTCAAACATGAAAATGTCTTCTCACTTCTATTTGTAATAGTTTTGGATGTACTTCTCTTCTAGTAATAAAATAAATAAATAAATAAAATAAAGAGATTAAATTTAATTTAATTCTTGATCATATGAAAAACATGATATCCCTATAAGAAATATGTATACGGAAAGGATACGTTTTGTATACATTTTATGTACGTTTCTATAGATTCCGTATACAAATTCCGTATATTTAATAAGCAATTCATTTTTGAACATTTTTTAAAAAAACTGATGTATATGAAATGTATACGGAAAAAATTAATCACACGGAATGTATACGGAATTTTTAAACTTAATATTTTTAGNAAAAAGTTTAGCCAATAAATATTATTTTTACTAATAAAATATTTTTTTAAAATTAAAAACATGATGAAAATTTTGTGAAAAAATACTAAGAAAATTTTTTATTATTTAGTATATCTTTATTTTTCAATGCATTTGGGAATTAAATTATATTAATAGAAAAATGAAATGGGATAGGGAATGGGATTGAAGAGAAATTGACTAAGTATATTATCCCTATATAAAAAAAATACTAATTTTTTTATACAGCCCCAAAAGCAGCAAAATAACCAGTTACTCTCGCAGTACTGCTAAATGAGAAACATGATTCAAAACTATCATCATTATCGTTTTTATAATCCCAGAGTATTGTGCTTACATTGTGTCGATTAAAGGTAGTTGCAATTTCATGATTATTCAGATATATAGCAAATTGAGCTACTTGTATCGGATTCCCATTCACATCATATGTTGCAAGTGCTATATCTATTGGTGTTCCTCCTCTGTATGAAGCAGTACTTGAACAGGGAGTTATACTATTAGCATTGTCCCATCTCTTGTACGATACAGCACACTGTGCTTGTGCGCTCTTCTCTGTTGCAAAATAATCAACACAAACTTCGTCGCTATTACATTGAATAGTATCTGATGTAAAAGTGCCTGGAAAATCTTTATTTGCGCATATAACCGTTACTGATGACTTTGTATTGCACCAGGAGTTTACAAGCTCACTGTGGTTATGGTCTTTACAGACGGTAGGTGTTGCCCTTTTGGAAACCAAAGTTCCATTCTTTGTTGATTCCTCTAGAGGTACTCCTACGACCATAGTTGTGATCGCAATCAAAAAGAAAATACACAATTTAGCAAACATATTCTTTTTATTAGAATGCAAAAGAAAAAGAAAAGGAAATGGGAAGTTTTAAGTTGTTCTTGCAGAAGGATAATGTTTTGTAAATTTGTTAATATATAATAATATTATGAGAATTTATCTTGAATTTTATAATATAGTTATTCTCTGTATTTATTTATTTTCACGTCCTAATCACTCCCAAATAATTTTTATTTTGTTTATTTTGTCTTACAATGTTGATTGATAATGATAAAAAAAAGTGCTACATGTAAAAAAAAATTTGCATTTATTCTATTCATTCTTGCATTGATTCTATTCATTCTTTAGTTCTTTTTTCTGATTGTCGCGACACAAATTACGATCCTCGTTAAAGCGCATATGGTCCGCAAATCATCTTTAAGAGTTTTATTTATCAGATTTAAAATTTTTGATAAAAAAGTTTTTTTTTTTATTGTTCTAATATATACTGTTATGAAAATAACAGTAATAAAAAAAAATATTTAATATAAAAAGAAGAAAAATAATTTGTGCAAAAAAAAGAATATAAAAGAAAAAAAAACTAAATGAAAGAGTAGTCAGTAGTGTAAGAAAAAGAAAGAGAGCGAGCATTTATTTCGTGCTGAAAGAAAAATGGTGGCAAATAAACAATAATGATCAGCTGTGCGCCTGTGCCACAAGGTCTAGTTAAGGGATCATGTCTAGGATAAGAAGCCTAGTTCAGTATATCATGTGACTTTTATTTATAGTTAATATATCGTCTATGAAATATCCTTTTTTGAAGTTTGTGTTCCTAGCACAAATTTAACCCCGAATTTTATTTTGCCGATTTTAAAAGTGTTAATGTTTAAATGAAAAAAGGAATTTAATTTGCTGATCAGAGTAGATTTAGTACGAAAATTAGGCTCATTTTACGGTCCACATGAACATGGATTTTGGCAATCCACATTATGTGGATCAACATCACGACATCACGTCATTCTAATTTGATTCAAGATGTGTGATTCGTTAATTATACAGTAGATTCGTACAATCTCATTTAACTGCATGTGGGAAATTTTGTTAAATGAGACCAATCGATAGACTGGTTACATTATGGTTTCCTGAATGTCATTTTCCTGAAATTAATTTTCCGATTTGCCATTTCCCGAACCGGTTCCTGAAGCTCCAATATGTCGAACTTTACTGGAATAAATGATATATATAAATTTCCTTTTTTAGAATAGATTTTTTTATATTTAGTAAATCACAATGACAGAAAAATATTAGGCCCATTTGATTACAAAATTTAAAATAAAAATAACTGATAACGTAAAGCTTTCAAACAAATATTTAAATATATGATAATAAAAATAATGAAACTTTTTTTGCGTAAGAACCATAAAAGAAAAATTCATCTGAACGGTTATCAGTACAATTTATTCTACCGACATGAAATTAATAACCGACGCCATTTTGCTGACTTAATTACCTGACTTGATATTTCACCAAAAATTTATTAGCTGCGCCTCACTCCTTACTGCGCCTTAATTTCAAATTATTTCAAGTGCTAAAGTTCAACAAACTGATTAACAAAATGCAAATTTTATAGCACCAATCTAATTATTCCTTTGTAACCTTTTCTCTATTTTTTTTTTTCAAATATTATGGTTAGAAATTTTAGAAACAAAAAATTTATATCATTGAAAATATTCCTTGCTTTCTTAATACTTGTAAGGCAAAATTTCATGATCGTCGGCAAAATAAGGATTCGTTAAAATAATTTCGGAAAAATGTGATGTTGGTAAAATGGCAAGTAGGCAAAATGACGTCGGTAAATTTTATGTTGGTGAAACAAGTGTCGGTAAAATGGGTGAATACACATCGCATCTGATCTAAGTAATCTTTTGATCTAAGAAAATGTGACGGATATGTATATTTTTCCATACATGGTGTTAAGTTATAAGTAATATTTTACATGTATTTATTTTGCATAAATAAAATAAGCTATAAATACATTAAAAAATTTTCTTCTAACCATTTGTTTACTAGTACATGACTAAATATTCATCAAAAAATTTTAGTGTAATGTCATGATCAAACTCATAAATTTTTTGTTGTAAGTTACGAGAAAAATACTTAACAAAAATCCCGAATATTGATGTTAGAATTATAATATGCTAAATATATTAATAATTAGTCATATTACGGACTATTAAAAGTATAGAAAATAAATGTTTTGTATAAAATTGAAAATATAGGCCTATATTAGACAATATTAAAGAGATATAATATGCCAATAATATTTTGACAGATTGTTTAACCAAATAAAAAATTATTTAACTATTCTATTACTATTACAGTGCTATTGCAATGCTAGTTTTTTTATGGTATAAAGTTTTGCAATACTACTGTTCAACATGCCAAGCAAAGATAAAACCAAAAAATTTCGCAATTGCCAGCATTAGAACATTAAATAATTTTCGATTATTTAGCGTACTACACTAGCTAATTAAAATAATTTTCAATTATTTAGCTACTACAATACATTATTATTCAGTCGCGCCAGTTAAAAATAAAAATATTGCCCCACTACCTAATGAGATACACCTATTAAAAATAAAAGCATAATCTTTTACATAATAATGTATGACATTTTAATTATTCTATTTATAAACATCTATATCAATTTGATTAATAATTAGTTCATTCACATAATTACGTCATCTAGCTGATGGAATGAATAATTGGAAGGCAAGCTTTTTTATTTTTAATAAAACATCTTCACTAATTCCCAGTAAATAGTTTTTGTATAAATTTATACCAAACGGGCTCATTGGCTCGAAATTAGCTCAAATTTATGCAAAAAATAATCCAAATTTAAGCCAATCTAGAGCCAATTATATATGGATGAGGCCCATTTGGTACAAATGTATACAAAAACTATTTGCTGGGATTGCGTACAACATATTTAAATAATTAGGCGCAGTTTTATTTATAATAAAATTCATGAAATTATCAGTTTCATACGTAATTAGATCTTAATTAGATCTTTTTTTAACATATGATACCCGAATTTTGAACTCGCATATTATACAAATTATGTTATTAAGAGATAAAATGCAAGAAAAAAGAATTCTAGCTTTTTTTTGCAATTTTATCTAATAAAATTGTTACTATGTCATTATTATTTCTACAATACAATTCTCAAGATATTTATAATAAATACTCCCTAGTATAAATCAATTTACCCTACTTAAAAGCTGAACTATACCCAGCAGGTATTTTGTATGGAACATACTGATGTTGACCATAATAGTCTAATTCTAACAGAATTTAATACAGGTTAATAACTATGAAGAATTTAGTATACTAGGGATGCTAGTTACTCTTATTGGTACTGGTACTGATGTAAACAATATTTAATTGATAATTCTAGACGTCCAAAAGCTCAAACATAATTGTGGAACTTTTACCGATTTCAAAATTTATAAAATAATAAAATTTCTCAATAATATCAATTTATAGTAATACTAAATAATGAATATTTACTCTTAAATAAATAAATTTATAAAATAACTTTATTTAAAAAAAATGAATGTTTCTATTTTAATTACAACAATATTACAACTTAATAATTAATCAATATTCATTACAAAATTATTAATGTCAATGAACAATTCATTATATCTTTGAACTTTAATATTGTGTAATTTAAATTCCTTCACTTCATCTTTCAATTTAGACAAATCCCCATTCTTACCATTATATCCTAAATGCTTAACTCTTTTATTCTTCATAATATATTCTTTTATACAGGGTAAAATATTTTGACCTTCTATATTATTAATTAACAATTTCTCAAAGAAAGTATCTTGAGAATTTTTTAAGAAAATTTCAAAATCATTTTCTTTAATGTGAAGAATCAAATTTAAATATTCTAATTTAGAAGGAAGGATTTGTCCTAAATTTTGTAATATAATTGAACTACATTCATTATTACCATATGATGATGTACTCATTGTAAGATAATTGAGATTTTGTTTAACATTTTCAATTAAATTGAATATTAAAGAATTGATCTGATTTTTAATTTTATATAAATTAAAAAACCTGATATTTTTACAATATTCTGGAACCAATTCTAATAATTGTTGTTTTAATAACAATGATAAATTAAAATTAGAATTAAGACCGAAATTTTCTAAATAATCTCCAGATTTTTGTAATAATAGTTTTAGCAAATCAAATTGTAATTTCTCGCTTATAAATAAAGTTTTTAATTTAAATGGTTTAGTTAAATTAATAATTTGAGCAAAACCATTATCTAAAGAATAACAATAAATGATTTGAACAGATTTTAAAGCATTTAAATTTTCAAATACTTTAACTAAATTATCTACACCTTTAAAGTCAACATAATAGAAAATGATTGTATTTAAGGTATTTGAACAATTAGATAACAATAACGATTGATATAAGGATAAATTATTATAACGTAACAATATCTTTTTAGTATTTTGATGTAAATTGACCAATTGTGATATACGATTTTTAATCAGTGTATTTTCGTTATAATTTGAAATAAAAAGTTTTAAATTTCCAATATTATGAATAAAATTAGGATTTTGTAAAATTAACCCTAAAACGTTATCACAATATGTATTGTAATAAGTATCAATTTCAAGAGTATATAAATTTACTTCATTTTCAATAAACATTTTAAATAACGACATACAAATTATTTCCCTAAAATTATCTTGAAAAAAATATTTACTTCCGAGTTTTGAAGTTCCTTCAAGCCACCACTCCCCAACTGAAGAAATAACCTTGTATATATTCATATATTTTAAAAAACTAGGATAATTGAATAATGGATTATCATTAATTTTATATTCGTTTAATTTTGTTTTTAAATCATCATTTAAATTATGTAAATAAATTTTAATAAAATTATAATTTTTAGTAGGAATTGAAAAAGGATTTTCCCATAATAATGGAATCGTTAAACGACACCATAATCTGTTAACTAAAACACATGAATATAAGGTTGAATAATCATCCTGAAAATATTTTATGATATCAAATATTAATTCAGGTAAATCTCCTGAAAATATTTTTGAACAAGACATATCGTAATTTAAAGTGAATAATTGGAAAGTATTAATTTTTATTATTTTGAATTGGGCAAATTAATATTGTCGCACAATTCATGTAAGTATCGCGCAATTCGTTTTATTAATTGCAACATGTTTAATAACTAGGCGCAGTTTTATTTAAAATTACTGCATTCGACTTAGAATGCATTTACCGCCTCATATGCAGATCACTGCAGATCTATTTTTTTTTACACTTTTTTGTACGACTGGAATATCTTTGAATTCTAAAATTATATTAGGCTAATAAAATTTTACATGTTTATAATAAGAAAATAGAATATAAGAGAAAAAAGAAAATATTTCTTTTTTTATTTTTTTAATTTCCTTCTAATAAAAATTTTCATGTCATTACTGAATAGTATCATAACGCTCAAAATATTCACAATAAATGAGACTTATTTTTAAAAAAATCGAGAAAATAAAAATTTATGGATACAAGAAAACTCATTAAAATTATAAAAAAGTTCACGAATTTTACCACCAAAGTTAAGATACAAGCATTCAAACTTACAAATTAAATTTAACATAAAAAAATAAAAAATAAAAGTATCTCTTTGCCTAAAAAAAAAATTCCGTTTTATACTTACAAGTTACAATGTTAATAAAAAATAAAAATAAAGTAAAAAATTGCCATATTTACTTTTAAATTCATAATTCATGTTTTATAGTCATTAAAATAATGACATGTTTGCAGTTTTTGTTTAGCAACATTTGCTCGTAATAGACTCATTAACGTTTAATTAGTTACCATATAGCACGGACTAAAATATTCAGGATATAAATAGGACCCCGAACAATACTAATATAGGTAGGAGCTGAAGATGCGTCGTCATCTTAGTAGCTCTCAATATGTTAGAATTTGGGAATGCGTACAATTATCAAAAAATTTTGATAAGGTTAGAATTTGATTTTGCGTAATTTTGATTGGATTTTAGGATGGTAAGATGTTGGATTTGCTTATTTTTGGTATATTTTTGGAAATAAAAAATAATAATTAATTTTATTTAACGATCATCTTAAAATAAATTTTTTTTTTTTTCGAAAAAAAATCTTTTCTGTATTGCATACATAATGTTTCATTGGAAATATGGTAAAGAGTGATTGGCTAACATAAATACGTTACTCATATTGTTAATGCAAAAAAAGTAGTATGTATATGTGAAAAAGGAATCAAATTAAACCACAGGTATGAAGAAGATTATTTAAATAGACATGTAGCATGTTCAAGATGTAAAGCAGACGAAGACAGAGAACAATTTGATACAACTAATAAAAGAGCCAATTAAAATTTTAAAAACTGACTTGAAGTTAGAGGATTAAAATGCGTATTTTGTAAAAATTTCAGGGGTTAGGAGCTATAAATGCGTACTGATCATAGTCAAAAGTGCTGCGTACAGCTAATAGTAAATTTTTTTTTCTGGACCTTACCTATATCAGTATTGTTCGGGGTCCTATATAAATCACTTACCCTATTTAAAAAATTGAATTATACCCGGATCAGCTTTTATCACAGGTGTACTATTCGAACTTGATTACTACCATATAGCACCGACTAAAAGACCCTATTCCTCATGCATTATCCTAATAACGTTCAAATCTCAAAAGGTGGCCAATAAATTTTGTTTGTAGAATGATCAAATATGTATCACCAAAAATGTAGGTCGTTTTGGTCGAGTAGACAAAAATACTGACAAAGATAAACAATACCATAACTATTGGTTGCCTAATGTTTATCGATCAAACCAACTCAAAATTGGTGGTGATCACAGTAATTGGTTAGAATATAGCTTCTATTCGATGTAATCAGATTATATGTTTTGTTACACTTACAGTATAATCGAAGTATAAAAATATAAGAAATTCAAAACATCATTAAAATAATTACGGTAGAAGCTTTATCCGTAACTTTTAAAGTATTTTATAGTTTATAGTATAATTTATCTAAAATTAATAGGATCCAATTGTAATAAATAAGTTTAAGAAATATCATATGTAAAAACTACTAGTTCATGATGGCGAACCATAATATTTAATTTATATATTATAGTATATAATACATAAATAATTTTTATAATTTATTATGCACCTTTTTTTTATATCAAAAATCGATAATTTGCTAGTAACTCTTACTCATTTTTTTTCTATTTAGCTTGTTAGAAAATTAATATATTATTTGTTTTCCAAAACGTAATACTACTGTCTTACTTGTTACTAGTATTTATGTAAGTACAGTACATATATATTTTTTTATGTCATGATAATATAGTGCAAAACTGCAAATAATAATTAGAGCAGTGAGCTTAATAAATAATTATTCGTTTTTCTTCATTTTTTTTTCTTTAGGTTCGATCAGAAATCTGCATATGATACAGAAGTAACTCAGAATTTTTACCTTCTTTTTTAGCAATAATTGATTACTAATCAGTTTATCTTTCAATTAATACCTTAAATTTTATTTTTTCAGAACATTAAATCTAGTTGTTAAAACTTAGTCATATTTTACAGTATCTTTGAGCGTAACTACTTTTGACGTTATTAAATTATTATATTTTTGAATTTTAAGAAAATATTTATTATATCATTAAATACCAAAATTGTTTTAAAAATAAAATTTCATGTTATTAAAAAAAATGATGTTAAAAATAGATGGAAATTCTAATAATTTATTGTTCTGTCATAATAATTATTTTATTTATTTACAAAAAGATTAAAATTATTAACTACTTTAATGATGAATTATATTATAACTGAAAAATTCATTTGTTAATACGAATTTCCTTTATATAATAATGGTAAAATGTTTCTTTTAGTTTTATATAGATTTAAAACAAACTAATTGGATAATACATTTTTTAATCTAACAATTTTAACGCGATTCTAATTATCATAATTTTTAATACACGTAATGATATTGATTGACTACTATATTTTTCAAAATTTCAATAAAGTACCTATATACTGTAGTATAATTGTACTAACAAATAATATTGATCGACAAAGCTTTTTTTTTTTGTGAAACAAGTATTTATAGTTTGGGATTTATAACAAAGGAAATTTCTTACTTAAATGATCTGTGATTTTTGTGATCATCAGCTGACTTCTTGAACGCTTTATTGTTTGACCTAAATAAAAATAAAATTTTGTCAATCGCTGCTGTAATACGTTTTAAATAGTCCTCTTTTTTTTTTTAAAAAAAAAAAAACTTTTTTATTCTGGCTAGACATAAAATTGAAGTTACATTTATTAATCCAATATGGAAGAATTTATGATTACAGATAATATATTTGAGCAAATAAAAGATTTTAACCATGAAGAACTATCTGAAGAACAAAGTTTGTTAATTGATAAGTTAATATTAAATGAAGAATTAAAAGAACGTTATAAAGAAAATGGTTTATGCGAAGAATGTAAGCAACCTAGAGCTTCTATTTTTTGGTGTCAATGTAAATTTCAACAAAATTTCAAAAATTGGACTAGTGGAAATAATGAAGTTGACAAGTTTATTCAAAAAGTACAACTTAAAGCTAAAGATTATCGAGAAGTTATAGAATGGATTGAATATGATAGATTTGAAAATGTTGAATACTTGGCAAAAGGAGGATTTGGAACTATTTATAAAGCAATTTGGAAAGATGGATGGATAGAAAGTTGGGATTTTGAGAATAATAAATGGATAAGAAGTAAACATTATTGTAGGGAATATAAGAATTTTCCAGTTGTTTTAAAATGTTTACATAATTCTCAAGATATTACATCCGATTTTTTAAGAGAAGTAAGTTACTTATTTTGTATATAATTTCAAGATATTGTCCTATTATAAATGTTAAACTATTTATTAATTATTATTATTATGGATTCTTTTTTAGATTGAAACACATATGATTTTGTCAGAACATATAATTTCTAGTATAGCATGGTGTTATGGCATTACTAAAGATCCAGAATCTAGAGATTTTATGATAGTAATGGGATATGCAAAAGATGGTAGTTTAAGACAACATTTAAATATTAATTTTAATTCAACAAATTGGAATAAAAAGTTGGATATTTTATTTATAATTGCACTAGGCCTCAATGATATTCATCAAAAAGGATTAATTCATCGTGATTTTCATTGTGGTAATATATTAAATGACAGCGAATCTTTTATTATTACTGATTTAGGCTTATGTCGACCAGCAAATGTAAAATCATCTCAAAATGAATGTAATGAACTATATGGAGTATTACCCTATGTAGCACCAGAAGTTTTAAGAGGAAAAGGATACACTCAAGAAAGCGATATTTATGGTTTTGGAATTATTGCATATGAAGTCTGTACAGGGCTTCCTCCTTATCATGATATTACTCATGATAAATTCTTAGCTATTAGCATTTGTCAAGGACTTAGGCCAAAATCAAATTATAAAATTCCTCAATTAGTTTTAAACATAATTAAACAATGTTGGGATGCTGATCCTTTAAAACGACCTAAAGCAAATGAATTACATGAATTATTATATGGTTTATATTCTTCAAGTGAATATTATAGTGATCGTGAAATCAATAAGCAAATTGAAGAAGCAGATAAAATTAATGAGAAGTTAACTTCTTCTTCATTATTATATACTGGTCCTACTCTTTCATATACTACAAATCGTCAAGCAATTTACACAAGTAGGCTTTTAGATTTTAAAAATCTTCCAGAACCAAAAAATGCTATTGATAACAAGGATGATGATAATTCATTTGGAGAATATTCAGGTAATTAATTTCCTAATTTACTTTACAAAAGCATTTTTTAAATATTTTATTTGATATATATAATTATTTTTTTTAGATTTTACTAAACTAGATTTAGGTACTTATATTCATTAACCTTTTATATGATTTATTTTATTAATAATATTATTTAATAATTTATTTTTTACATATAGATAAAAGCAGCTGAATAAAAGAAAGGAAGGGTATAAATTTCTTTATTATTTACCATTTATTTTCTTCAACATTACTACAGATGATATTTTATTGGAATGTATTTTTTATGATTAAATAAAGTATTATTATTTATAAAATTATATCAAAAATAAATAGAATAAATTGTATGTAATATGTTATAAAATTGCAACAAAGTAAAAAATTACATTGTATTTTATGTTAATCTTTAATATTGTAAAGTTATCCAACTCAAAGGGAGGTCAAAACCTATTATGGCCCGGCCCAGATTTTTAGTTCGGGTTGGATCATATTTGAATCAATCAACAAATATTTTTGTGGTGTAAATATTTTGAAAGAGTAATATTATAAGAATTGTTTATATATTGTAAATAGTAAAAAAAAATTATTAAAATTATTGGTTTTATATTGGGATATTCTGTCTAATAATTTTTATATCTTTATGTCTATTCAAAATAAAATATAAATTTGACTTAAATTATATATTTACAGTTAACTCACGGATCACGAATTAATGATGCAAATACAGTGATACTAAAAGGTTTCGCTCTCAAAACCTTTTTATCACTGTTATTAGTCATAAAGGTAAACTCAAAATATAAGACGTAATACGATATGGCGAATTAACAAAATAACTGAACTCAAATATGGAAATGTAATGAAAAAAAAATTGTTTATTTAATATTTAATAGTTAGATTCTTTATTAATCAAATCGGTCCACTAAGATCAACATTCTCCCCAATTATGCGGAGGACAGATTGCGTGAGAATTGAATATTTACATGGTAGATAAATTGCAAAGTATAAAATAAAACTTGTCAAATTATAGTGTAAACTAATAAAAATTTTATTTATAATGATGAATGTTAATATATAATAATTTAAATCACTATCAAATAATTAATAAAGTTCCTTCATATAATTATAAGAATAAATAAATATGGCATAATAATATTGTAGTTTAATATTATATAACTCAAATTCCTTTGCTTCATTTTCAAAACGACATAATTCACCATTATTAGAATTCCTTATAGCCAAATATTTGACTCTTTTTTCCTTCATAATAAATTCCTTTATACAATGTAAAATATCATCACTACCTTTTTGATTTATTAACAATTTCTTAATAAAAGTTCCTTGAGAATTTCTTAAGAAAATTTTAAAATCATTTACTTTAAAGTAGAGAACTAAATTTAAATATTCTAATTTAGGAGGAAGGATTTGTCCTAAATTTTGTAATAATATTGAATTAGATTCGATATTACCATTTTGATAATCTACACCGATCGAAAGATAATTAAGATTTTGTTTAATATTTTCAATTAAATTGAATATTAGAGAAGTAAAATGATTTTCAAATCCATATATATCAAGAAATTTGATATTTTTACAATATTTTGTAATTAATTCTAATAATCTTTGTTCATCATAATTAAGTTCACATTCAAAATTCTCTAAATAATCACCAGATTTTTGTAACAATAATGGTAATAATTCAATTCGTAATTTCTCATTTGTAAATAAAGATTTTAATTTAAATGGTTTAGGTAAATTAATAATTTTTTGAATAAAACTATTTAAAGAATAACAAAAAAAAATATGAACAGATTCTAAAACATTTAATTGTTCAAATATTTTATCTAAATTATTTATACGATTAAAATTGATATAATAGAAAACGATTGTATTCAAGGTATTCGAACAATTAGATTCTTTCGATAATAATAATGATTGATATAAAAGAAAGGTATTGGTATTATAAATGAAGGATATTTTTTTGAGATTTTGGTTTGAATTAATTATTTGTGTTACACGATTTAAAATCTTAGAACCAGAACTTGAAATAGAAAATTTTAAATTTCTAATATTATTACTAATGAAATTTGGATTTTGTAAAATTATCTCAAGAACATGTTCAATATATGTAACATAATTTGTGTTGGAGGCCTCAAGATCAAGGGTATGTAAATTTACTTCATTTTCAATAAATAATTTAATTAATGACATATTAATAAAATTTTTAAATTCAAATACTAAATCTATATTTAAGGTTATATCATTAGCTTTTAACCACATATTAATAGAAGTATTAATTTTATTTATGTTTAAATATCTTATAAAACTAGGATAATTGAAAAGTGTATTTGAAGTTAACAAAGAATCAATAATTTGGTATTTACTTAATGTTGCTTTTAAATATTTATTCAAATTATATAAGTAAACTTTAATAAAATTGTAATTTCCAGTAGTGATTGAAAATGGATTTTCCCATAATAATGGAATTGCTAAACGACACCATAGTTTATTAACTAAAATACATGAATGTAAGGTTAAATAATCATTCTGAAAATGTTCGATGATTTCATATATTAGTTCAGGTAAATCCCCCGAAAATATTTTCGAACTTGACATATTGTAAACGAAAAGAAGAATAAGGGTGTATCATTTTATTATAAGACCAAACTAAGTAAATTTATATATAATTTTCGGAGTTATGATTCCGATATTGTCGCACAAACAATGTCAATAATAAATTGTGTGTAACATTCTTTAATAATTAGGCGCAATTAGTAATACAAACAAAATGACATACGCAGTAGTCAGCCAGTAACTAACATTTTGCTATCGGAATTAAAAAATTGTTTGTAACGCCATGATGATCGCACCAAATTATACGTAAACTAGCTCATCGAACATCACCAGCTACAGAAATAAAAACAGAACATGGAGAAAAGGATGATGACACAGATTTACCGGCTGGTCTTCCTCTAGATCAAAAGGATCTTTGTTATTTACTGAGAATAACATTCTTTCGAGAACGTGCTGCAGCAAGAGAACGAGAGCGTCAGAGAGAAGAGGAAGAACGAGCAAATCGTAGAGCTAAAGCTGAAAAAGTTCACATGGAAGGGAAAATAGAAAGAGAACGTGAGAGAGAAAGAAAGCCGATAGAGATCGAGATCGGCAATATGGACATTATCATCATCCAGTAAATTTTATTCCTGCAAGAGAATTAAGACGCGAATCTTGTATTTTAGACGATAAAGAAGAGGAACAACGCAGACAAGCTAAAAGAAAAACTGAAACGGAAATGGCTTTATTAATTTTCGCCCCTACTTCCATTGTTTCTGGATGGTGAACCGGGTCCGATTGATCAACAACTGGAATTTTTTTTTAAATTAAAAATACCCTCTATATTATTAAATGATTTTTAAATATTATATAAGTATAAGATAGTAGAATATCAGCAAATTGTTTATGTTCATACTAATACAATAATGGCCGATAATAAAACTGGTGATAATTTATGTTCTGTTTTTTAATAATAAAGGGTTTAAAAATATTCCTTATAATTTTACGATTAATGGAATTTAAAGCTTCTTCGCCTATTTCCTTCATTTTATGTACTTACATAAATTAATTTAGAATATTTTATTTCTATTTGTACACGGGGTGTTTGAAATTTACCCAGTATCACCACATACCCCACGTGATTTTGTGACGTCTGAATTTTAATTGGCGCAATGTTATTTCACACGTTTATCTTAGGAAAAAAAATCGAATAAAAAGTAAAACTTAACATATTAATCATTTTATTACTTTTACAATAAATACACTTCAAAATAACCCTTTTACACTTTATTAAATTTAATTTTAATAAATAAATAAATATTATTTTAAGTACACTATTGTAAAAAAAGCTAATAATTACTCCATAAAAAATTTAATAAAAATCAATATCTAAGGTAATCCCACACCTGCTAACAATTTTACTTAATCTCCAAAGGCTTGTTATTTAAAGATTAATGCTCAAATATGATAATTTTAAATTAACTAATAAATAATCAATCAATTTTCAATACAAAATTACCCCTTGCTTCAACCATCTTGTTGCTACAATAATTTTGCACTTCAATATTATACAATTCAAATTCCTCCACTTCATCTTTCAAATACAACAAATCCATTCTATTATATGATGATTCTCCACTAATAACAGCCAAATACTTAACACATTTCTTTTTCATAATATAATGTCTCAAATATGGTAATAATACTAAAATGTTATCACCTCCCCTACTATAGATCGATAATTTTTTAATAAAAGTATTTTGAATACTTTTTAAGAATTCTTCAAAATCCCTTACTTTAATGTTAAGACACAAATCTAAATGCTCTAATTTAGAAGATAAAGATTTTCCTAAATTTTGTAATATGATTGAACTACACCCATCAAATCTAATATCATTAACTTTAGCTGGTAATCCGATATTTAGATATTTAAGATTTTGTTTAATATTTTCAATTAAATTGAATATTGGATAAGTAACCCCATTTTGAAATTCTAATAAATCAAGTAATTTGATATTTTTACAATATTTTGCAACTAATTCAAGTAATTGTTGTTTTAATGACAAATCATCATAGCAAAAATAAGAAAAATTATACCCAAAATTTTCTAAATAATCGCCAGATTTTTGAAATAATAATTGTAACGAATTAATATTTAATATATCTTCCATATATAAAGATTTTAATTTAAATGGTTTGGATAAATTAGCAATTTGTTTATCCAAACTAGTGTTTATAGAACAATTAATCATATGAATAGATTCTAAAACATTTGCTTGTTCAATTAATTTACTTAAATTGATACTATCAAAATTGACGTTTAATAATACGATTATATTTAAAGTATTTGAATAATTAGATAAAAATAATAACTTAAAATAAGAAGAACACTCTTGATTGAATATAATTTTTTTCAGATTTCGATGTGTATTAATTGCTTGTAATATGCGATTCTTACATAGAGTTTCAATAATTACAGTACCATCTTTCCAAGCGAGAAAAGAAAGTTTTAAATTTTTAATATTGTGAAAAAAATCTATATTATGTAAAATTATTTCAAGAATATTATTTAAATAAGGATTAGAGAAAACCACAATTTCAAGAGTATGTAAGTTCTTTACATTTCTAATAAATGTTTCAATTAATAACATTTGAATTAATTTTATACCTTTAAGTCTTGAATGCAAAATTTTAGGGTTACGATTCCGAAACCAATATTCAGTAATATAAATAAACTGGCTTGTTTTTAAATATTTTATAAAACTAGGATAATTGAAAAGTGGATTCGAAGGTAATAAATTAACTTTTTTTTTATATCTATTATATTTATCTAATTTTGTTCTTAAATCATCGTCTAAATTATTAAAGTAAATATCAATAAATATGTAATCTAGAAAAGGAGTTGAAAATGGATCTTCCCATAATAAAGGAATCGCCAAACGACACCATAATTTATTAACTAAAATGCATGAATGTAAAGTTATTATATCATTCCGAAGAAAAGTTAAAATATCATATATTAATTCAGGTAAATCTCCTAAAAATAATTTTGAGCATGACATACTGTTAAGCGAAGAGAGAGAAAAGGGAGGACGGGAGGTATAAAAAATTTTTTATTGTTATGCCAAACTTGGGATAATTTATATCAATTTCGGAATGGTGATATTAATTTAAGGCTGTGTAATAGTTTTTTTCACATAATGGTGTAGTTAGCCGAAAATCGGAGCCGAATTCCTGATTGCCGATCATCAGGACCGGTTTAACCGCAGAAAATCTCCTGGAATTCCACAACGATCTGCGCCTGAACGGTGTAATGCCGTAGTATACCTAGTAAATTTATTAATTGTGGGGCGCAGTATTACATTTAGTCTTAGTGTATAAAATTTTAACTTATTTTTATTTTTATTTTAATTGGACCGAGAAGTCGTTAAACTAATAATCACATGGATTAAGGTAGTTGGTCCGTGATGACCTTAAACTATTAGTCACGAGATTTAAGGATAAATGAAGATCCGAAAGATACTAAATTGAATGAAATCAAGTGATCTGAGGTGTCAAGTGATTAATTTGTTGATCACTACGTTAATATTATAAATCATAATTCAGGAGTTCATGATGATCAAATGGATACAAAATTAAGATAATGGAAATACTTTAAGATAATGGAAATACTTTAAAACAATGGAAATACTTTAATAATTTAAATCCATGAATCGAAATTATGAATTTAGTTACACAAAAACAAACATAAAAGGGCGTGAAGATCACCTTTTGGAAAAGGAGAGAAAAATTGAACGAATTTTGTTATGAATTATTTATTTTATTATTTAATGTTATTAAACCAAGCATATTATTGTATTTATTTATATTATTAATAAAGAGTCATTTTGTTAATACCTGAGGTGGCAAACATAATTCTCTATGGGCTCAGGTGTTACAAGTGGTGCATGCTCCGAGAAAGGAAAAGTGATCATCCTCACATGATCACTACAGGTTACGAGTACAGGATCTCCGAGAAAGGAAAATGATCATCTCCACATGATCATTAGAAGTTACAAATAAAGGATCGACGAAGTTAAGGAATTATAAAATTAAAAGTTCTAAGTCTTGGTTAAAAAAAGAATTTAAGGTGTATTAATGACAAATTTTAATAAAATAAAGTCAAATATTTTAAAGGATACGTAAAAATAATGGTTACCAATGTAAAAAGTATTAATTTGGGTAAGTATGACCATAAATGTATGAAGATATAATGTTAAAAATTAAATTTTTGATCTAACTTGACCACCGGCTGATAAGTCAATGAAAAATTATTATTATAATAATTTTCATACATATGAACCAAATATGTATGTTAGTAATTGATTATCAAGGGAAATGCGAGGCTAATCAAGTTAGAAGGGGTTTTAATAGAATATTGTAAATAAGTTCCATGAATTAAGGATTAAAAATAATTTTTATAAATAATTGAGGTTAAGTTAAGGATAAAAAGTGTACCCAAAAGCCGACACTATAAATACGATGGTGGGGTAATTCTGTGTGAACTCAATTGAGGTTTTCTGTGTGATCAATTGAGAATAGTTCTGTGTGAACTT